TCGTTGGTTGGATTTGAGTCGGGGGGGAGTGGTCATCATAGTTAATTACTATTGGGAAGTGGTCACTGTCGTGTAAGTCTCCTAGGGTATTCCATTCCATGCATAGTGCTATCTTGCTGCTGCATATTGGCAGGTCTATTGCGCTGAGTGTTCCAGAACTTACTGTGAAGTGTGTTTGGTTTCCTGTATTGAGGAGGATGAGGTTTGGATCTTCTAGTAGTTTTGGATCCTCTGTTGTTTTTCCGCGACTGTCGGTTTTTGTAGAGCCCCAAAGGTAATTGTGGCAGTTAAAATCGCCTACTATCAGCATTGGTGGTGGTATTTGGCTGATAAGGTCTTTTAGTTCTTGTAGTTGTAGAGGTAGGCTATTTGGGAGGTATATGTTGCATATGTTTATTAGGAGCGATACGACCACTGCAATTGCTTCAAGCTTCGTGATTAATGGAATTTCTTTGGCTCTCATTCTGTGATCGCTATGGTTGTTCCTCCACTAGCGTGGTTTGTGTTTTTCCTATTTTTTGTGAAGGTGACGTACCCTTTTAAAGTTGGTTGGTGTTCGTTTTTGAAGTTAGTTTCTTGAAGGCATATTATCGTTGGGTTGTGTTGTTTGAGGATGATTCCATTGGATTATTTTTTTCATGGTGTGACTGATAGCTCGTATACCGTTAGTTTATTTAAATGCCGGTATCGATCTAAAATAAATGTTCTGTACAGAGTGGTGGGGATTTCCTGGTTAACTTGATAGATCGCTGTCAGCCTCCGATGACCAGTTAGGTGTAGTTGGGTCTGTCAGGTCATGTGTCATCTTTTTGTATAGTTTTCTTAATCTGATTTTTATGGTTCTTTCTTTTAGTAGAGTGTGAATTGTTATTAGTAGTTCGACTAAATCTGTCGTATTTGTGGTATATTGTTTGGATATTTCGTTCGGATTGGATGCTCCTATTGCTTTTTTTAAAAAGCTTTTCAATTGTAAGTAGTCCAGTATTTGGTTGTTTTTTTTTTTTTTTTGACGTTAATGTATTTTTTCGCAGGTTCTAGCATGTCGTCGATTCTATCTAGCGTGAAGGCTGGCGCCGCCGGGCCTTTGGGTTTCTTAAAGGTTGGTTCGTGACTCTTGGTGTATTTTTTTAGTATTTGTGGATTTGGGCTTTTAGGGTCTGCTTCAGGGTCACTTGGTTTTGCTGGGTTTTTATTGGTTTCTTCCGACCCTGAGGATAGAGCTCTTTTGGTACCTGTCTTGTTTGCTTTGGGGTCTTTTGCTTTTTCTTTCCTAGGTTCAGGTAATTCTAGGGTAACTTTTGTTGGAGGTTCGATTTCATTGTTAGTGCTTGTATCAGTTTGTCTTTCTGTTTAAGGTATATGGTCTTTGGTTGGGAGCTGTGTAGGTGAGGTTGGGGTTTTGTGTGTGTGGGTTTGCGAGTTGGTTTTGCTTTGGTTTTCTGTATTTGGGCATTGGTTTGCAATGTGTCCTTCTTGCTGACAGGTAAAACATGTTTGTTTCTCTGTAGAGGTGAATATTCTGTATGTGTTGTTTTCGATTGTGAAGGAGTTCGGGATGTGTTTGGCGTCTTCTGGGTCTACGTATACTTGTCTTCTTACTAAAACTTACTAAAACTTAGTATGTGGGACAAGTCTGGGTCAGTGATGCCTGCTTTTAGGAGCGTGATGTTGGATAGTAATTTGATATTGTTTTTCTTGAATAAGTTTTCAATTTGAATGCTCGGGATTATCGGTGATAGAATGATTCTTTGAGCTGGAAGGACCATCGGTCTGATTTCTATGATTTCTTTATTTATCACTATCGATTTGTGTTTTTGTTTGGTTTTGATACTGTCTGCTTACTGTCCAGGTACATGCATATTCTACCGTTTGATATTCTAGAAAGGAATTTTATTGCTTTGGGTCCTATGATGTTGCCGATCGCTCTAGCAAATTCTTTAATAGTGATGCCGTCAGTTGATTGAAGGATTATGGCTTGGTCCTGGGTCGGGGAGTATTCTTGTTGCGTTTTAGTTGCATTAGCGTAAGAGCTTTTGGGTTCAGAGGAGATCTCGGTTTCTGTGTTGAGTTGGGTTTTATTTGTTGTCATGGTGGAATGACGCGCACTCATGCACGACACTACACAAACACACTGTGCACTTATAATCGGGATGTATGCCCGAACTGCTGTGTTGGGGTCACCAATGCAGCTAACTGTAACCTATCTGACTCTTCTCCCTCAGTGGTACTACACTTCGGTACGATTCACGATGGTACGTCCGATCGGTTCGGCTGTCGGGACAAGTCTAATTTATTTTTATTACTAATCTTTATCAGAAAAATAAAAATTAATAAAATATTAAGTTAATCAAAGTAAAATTTCTGTAACATGATATAAATTATTAAGTTGAACCTAATGTGATCACTTCAATGACTTTATTAATAAAATTTTTGCTGTCAAAGATACGATTTCGTAGGTTTTTAAGGTGATAATTAGACTACGGATTTTAATGCATTTTTACATTTTGATGAATTTTATAATTAAAAAAAAAAAAATGAAATCTAAATGGAAATTTGTTTCATCAACTATATTATATATTATATTATATCAATATCATAATAAATACTGCACTTTGTATATTTTTTCATTGTGTGCATTGTGTATATCTTTGTACTTTCAAATTTACCACAAATTCATAAAAATCCACAATCTTTTGACCATATTATGCTAAATTATATCTTAGTGGACATATATGTACATAGATATAAATACATATAAATACTACGTGCATATGCAGAATATATCTTTTACCTTGTTTACAATTTATAAATGATATTCTCGAATTAATCAGCAATTTGTTTTTCTAGCCAGAGGTTAGTTTCTGTTTATTGTATTTGAATGATATTAATGGAGTTTATTACTTGAATAAAGAATATATTTTAGGTATAATAGAATACGAAGTGGAAGCGCACCAGTAGAATTTCAATTGGTAGAAGACGAAGTTGTAAATATTGATGACTTAATTAATTATGGCCAAGAACATTATAATTGGAACTCGGAAGGTACACAATTATTAATATATAACTACAATATCCATAATATATTAATATCTATATGTAAAATTATATCTTTTGTAAATTTGATTTGTTAATTGAACGTAAAGTAGAACAAGAATAATTTTATTTCTTTCATTATGTTTTATTTTTTTATTCATAATTTTCAAATTTATCGCTCTTGATTTTAACAAAAATTACGTACTTTTGTCCGAGAAGTTTTTACAAGTCATAACGCAATGGATTAATCAATCCTTTATCTTACACGATATTACTGATACGAAATTGTTGTTTCGATTTGAACAAAAAAACAAATTCTAATCCTAGCATAAAATTTGTATTCAAATTCATTTCAATTTCTGAAATTTTAATTCTTTAAATTGAAGATTAATAAGTACAAATTATATACATGGTGAGTCGTAGAAGTGCAACCAGAATAGAAATGATTCTATATGAAGAAACAAACAGAAAATTTGGTATAAAATTTTGTCGTTCAAAACTTCATTTTTGAAAAAGTCAAAAGTTTGAAAAATCACAAGATACGCATATCGCCATTTTGTTGTTATATTAAATACCTTTAACACGTAGATTGAATATTTAATAATTTATAATAATCTAATTAGATTAGATCCCAAAAAAATTTCATAAATTTTTAAACTACTCGAATTTTATATCAAATTTTTTGTTTATTTTTTCATGAATAATCCCCAGTGCGATTGTACTACTTACCACTTTATATAATTTTGTATAATTTTTAAACTTTATATTTAATATGTAATAATTAATGCATACCGAAAAAAATTAAAAAGCAAGTGGTTAAGAAATACTAGGAAATTGCTCATTGTTTTTTCTTTTTAATTAAATAAATCAATTTTAGAGGTTCCAGAATATATCGACAATTTGGTAAAAATTATCTGGAAATTACATGCTAGAGTATTTCGTGCACAAAAGAACTTAACTAACATTATGAACCAAATGTATGTCTGGGCAATGATGCCAGTTATTTATCGCAAAGACGCGAAAGATGAAAATTTGTTATCACTCGCTGACAAGGACGATAAATTCGCGGAAAGATTTATGGAAATTGAAGCAACAGCTGAACAACTCGACCAAGTATTAAAAGAAAATTATAAACTGTTTTTTGACTTACTGCCAGAGAATATCTACGATAAAGAAGAGTTAGAATTATTAGACGGTAGTTATTTAATTGCTTTTATATTTATTTGTTTCATTTATTTATTTATTTGTTTTTTTATTTATGAAAATTGATTAACAAAATGTTCGTTAAACTTTTATTTATGTATTTATTCGATGTCATTATGTACAGTTCACAAAGAAGAAGAACAGGAAACAGAAACCGAAAAAGTAGCTGGGGAAGAAGAGGATGCCGAAGTTGTAAAGTAAATTAGAAAGTTTGAATATTACCATTTTTGTTTCGTTACGCAATCGTCATCATATTGTTGTAAAATAACATTATATGTTCATCATCATCAACATTATATGTTGTATTATCATATGTTTGTAAAATAATAATTGCTGTTTATTCATTACATATACTCTTGGTCAAAAATTTAAGATTAATGTTAAAATTTCAAAATAAATAATTGATTTCTTTAATATATTGATGCAAACGACGACTATCGTCATCATGCATATTTTTGCTAAAAAATACTAAAAACAAAGCTATCATGTATACACACATATTTTCAGCAGATAATAGTTTTGTATTTAAAAAGGAATTTAACATAATAGTTTTGAATTGTTAAGAAGAATATTTATAGAGAATATTGTAAGTGCCAAAATTGAAAAATCTTGTTTTTTTATCAAAATATATTCTGTACGACAATAGAAATACCATGTGTGAAATATGTTTTACTTAAATAGAATTTTTTATTGTTATTTACAATATTTATTATTTATTTAATATTCTTATTTAATACTCTGTATGAATATTTATTTTATATTATTTTTTGTTATTTATTTTATTTAATATTATTATTTAAATTTAATATTATTATTTAATATTCTGTATGACAATAGAAATACCGTGTGTGAAATCTGTTTTATTTAAATGGAATTTTTTATTATTATTTACATACGTTATATTGATAGTTTTAATTAATACAAACATATTCCAAACGATTAAAGATACGATATAAAGTGACAAAAATATTTGCGAATATAAGAAACTAAAGCTGAGAGATGACAAGAGAAAAGGTGTATAGAGAAAAATTGTACAGAGTATTGACCTTGGCAATATATTTTGAAATTATTAAATTCTATGAAGTCATTTGTAAATAATTAATGGTTATTTATGTATAATACTAAAATCACTATAAAAAAAATTAAAATTTGGTAACATTTTTCTTCCTCCTGAAAAATTTGATGTTTGATACTTGGAATATTTTCTACAAATACTCTTCAATCTTTGTATTAGTTCAGAAATGTATTTTCGCAAGATAGTATCGTCAAAAAATAGTCTGTGAAAATGAAATGATGCGTTAATAAGTTAAGTAAATATTAGAGGTTTGCGAGAACCCGGAAATATCAGGATCCTTGGAACTGATCAGGTCAAAATTGTCGGAATTTTTAAAAATTTCGAGTCTCTCGCAAATCTTGGATTCCCGAGAATTTTGAAAACTCAAATGACATTTCGGGACTACATTCATTCGTGAAATTAATGAAATATTAAATTATTAATGAAATAAATTATAAAGAAATAAATTCTCGGGCCGATCCGATCTGATATTTTTAGATTCTCGTATATTTTATATAAATATCTTATTTTTCTTTTTATATTTCGAGAATTTCTCGATGTTTGTTCTTTTTAATTTTGAAGAGATTAGTTTAATCTTTAACGTGCATATGATGAAAAAAGTAAATAAGCTTAACTATAAAAAAATAAAATTCTTCGTATAGTAAAATGCAATGTATTGCTGAGAAAAAGTTTATTAAAAGCGGACTTAGTTTCGTTATTTCTAATATGCTGAACAATGAAAAAGATAAATACATGTATATACATAAATGAAAAGATGTATGATAGTGAATGATAGGGGACAATACCTCTCTTGTCTATGTACAGCTACATTATACAATCATCTTTGATTGAAGCAATTTTTACAAAAGAATTAGTTTTAATACATTGGATATATTGTGAGTAAATTCACGAATTATAATATGCGATGTATAGCATATTGAATTTATTTATGTAACACACATTGTGATCCGTGAATTTGTTCACAGTATATTCTGTGCATTAATATCAATATATTGATTAATATCAACATTGATGAGGATATATATCCAGAGACATTTTTTAGATGTATTTCATCTTTTCTCAAAGTCACAATTTTTAGTTATTTTAGTCATTCTTTTTTTATCTTTTATTTTCTTTTTATATGCATGTCAAAAATAAAAATACTAAAATAACTAAAACAAGTTTCGTTAAAATTTACGAGGATTGACATCACACATCGAGTATTATAATTTTATTATAATATTCATATTTTAAAATGTTGAAACTACAAATAAATTATATATTAATAAATATTAATTATATTTAGAAATGTAACTTTTGATTATAATATTTACATTTCTCAGAGAATATTTATTTCATCTAAAAAGAAAAGGATGCTCCAAATTTCTTAGTAATTAGTTTAATTTTTAGTAATTAATTCTTCTTAAATAAATAAATAAAGCAATATTATTTTAAATAAATAAATAAGCAAGTAATTAGTTCTTCTTAAATTAATAAATAAAGCAATAAAGCAAAAATTAAAAAACAACGATAATTGAAATATAAAATAATAATAACATTTTGTTTTTAATGATTGCATAAAATTTATAATGAACAATATTGATGACGATCGTTATTTTATAATTTTATTTAATTAATTTAGTAAATTTTTATTTAGGCCGGACGAGGAAATACTCGAAGAAATAGAGTCACCGGAAGAGCAAGTAGAAGAAGAAGAAGAAGTTGACGAGGAAACGTTAGCAATGAGACGTGAAAAATGGCAGCCTTATTTATCCTACGTTGACAATTTAATTTCTAAAGGTCTTATTCAAGCTGTCTCTACAAGGTTATTAATAATTATTCCCCTAATTACTAAAATTGAAACTTAGTAGTATTAATATTAGTCTTTCAAATCACCATTAAACAAAATTTTTAACTTTGAATAAATTACCTTCTTATACCAAAATTCCTACAATATTGTGGAAGGTTAGACAATCAAAGACCAGTATAACGTCAAAATACGTATATTTAACTTAATATACTATACTTAAAACTAAACTCGTTTAAACTAAGCTAAATAGATTTTACTACGTGCTATCTGCTCAATCCTATGCGATTCCACGTTGCTTTTCTCATGTCGATGATTAAATCCATACTATTTATTCTACTTAATGGCCAAATCTATACTGTGACATGCATCTTTGTTGCCATTCGTTCTCTTTCTTCCCTTTTCATATTCATACCCAATATTATATTACATATTACTGTATACAACTATTGTATATAGCATTGTATTACGTCTGCAAGTCATCTATGTGCCCAAGCCGCCTTAAGGTCGTAAATTTAACTTGCATTCCTACAATATATCAACTTAGTTATTAATTATTTATATTGTAGAGGATGCGTTCCTCTAGGGATGCATCCCTGGGAAGTACCATTAACTGCCTTATGAGCAGTACCGCCCATAAAGTAATCGGACTGACCTTTGTCAACAGCACATCTGAGCTGAAAACGACTTACCTTCCCAATCACATGTTCAGGAAGGACACAAAGAGAGTTGGTTTTATTATATAAGGGTCGACTCTAACGTACCATAGGAGTACATAATAGAGTAGTGCATAACACTAGTAAATGAAGATACAGTGAAGATAATCTGGATTACGTGCGTATTCCTCCAATTTCTAGGAACGCGCTTGGGAAGTCCGCTGCTTCACTATTGACACATTCGCAACGATCACAAATATTTTAAATAATATTGTCGTGAATACTCAGAAATTTATAGAACCTTTGATATATAAATCGAAATTAAAAATATTATTTATAACCATACGTATGATTTTACTTAACATTTTACCTATTCACAATGTTTGGTAACTAATATTTGCAACCAAAGAGCGAATCTTCAGGTGAAAAATATAGAGGCTGATTCAGCATATAAAATAAGAAAAGAAATTCATAAACATGTGCCCGTTATGATTTTATTTTAGAGTTTTTACATTTTTAAATTACTTTTGTGATGGATAATAATTTTCAATTTTTTTTTTTTACATTCAAATTGAAAGCATTATTTTGATTTTATTACTTAACAATTTAAACATTTAAAATTAGAGAATACATTTAAATGCGTTTAGGAATAAATGCTTTTGCTAATTTTTATAATATTAAAATAAGTTAGAAAAATTAAAAGATAAATTTTCTATTTTTTTTTCTAGTATTTGTTACATCCTCGACGAAACTGATCCCGAAGGTGGCATATTACCTTCGTTTGAAATTCAGATGTGTTTAGAGGCAAGTATTTTTAGAAATGTATTTTTATGTTGAACAGTTTGAAATTTTTTAAAATCCAAATTTTTTTTATGTTATATATGTAATAGAGATGTGAAAAAATATTTTTGGGAATTGTCCTGGTAGTATTTAGTGATATGTATATTCTGAAAGTATTTTGGAATTTGAAAATACCGGGAATTTTAAGAATGCAAAGCACATTTCGCATTATCTTGAAATTAGATACATTATTTTTGCCTCGTTGTTTGCCTTATTACAAACTTCGTTATTTTATTGCCTAAAGAATAAAAAAGGAGTAAAGAGTAAAAAATAAAAATTGCGAAACCATGATCGTATTCAATAAAGTTAGTACTGAAACAAATGTCCCGAATTTTCGAAATTCTCGAGAATTCTCATATTTTCAAATCTCGAAATATTTATTTTTCGAATACCAGGTTTCCAATATTTTCGGCATCTTGTACTCTTTTAATATTTAATAAATTATTATTATTAATAATCCTTATCCTTTATTGAAAGGAAATAAAAAAATTTAATCGAAATAAAAGTTAACATATTAAGGAAAAATTACGATTTTTGAACATGTAATCTGTGTAATTAATATTTTTATATTGTAATGTGTATAGTTTTGAAAACGCGGATGTAAATGTAATAACCTTCATCCATCCTGTATTAATTTGGCATGTCTTTTTACAATCTTACCGATATATATTAATAAAATTAAATCAAATTAAAAATCCAAAATTAAACAATGTAAAAACTTAATTTTTATGATTTCCAATATCAGCGATACCAGTTTGAGATTAACGTTAATTAGGTTTATTAAGATGTTAGATTACATTAAATTGATATTGCCTTTTCTTAATCTTTTCTTTTTTGCTTGTGCAAAACTGATAGCTTTTAGGCACAATATAAACATATGTTAGTTAAACGATAATAATGCAAAATGTATTTACTGTTGACATGTTATAATAATTATATATCCTATATATACTACAACAATTCTGTAATCGTGAATTTTTTTTCTATATTTTTACAGAATCTTAATATTACTTTTCGGCCATCAGTGGAAGTAGATGATCCGGAAGGTTTCTATGTTTTTTTCGAATCCCTTCTGCTTGAAATGATGAAAATGGGTACTCTCATACCACGTGTCGATCCTGAATTGCATGAAAATCAAGAAAATTATGCAGTATGTAATCCATTATTAATGTTTCCAATCCTTGAATTGATAAACAGCTATTTATACAATTTTCTTTAATACATTTGAGACGGACTTTAATTTTTTTTTTAATCTCACAGTCAAATAAATTTTTCTTCTTTTTAATCTAAGGAAATAGATTTCCCATTTTTGGCATAGATTCCAGAACGTGTTTTTCGTATTATTAAGTTGTGTAATAAGTTCGTTTGCACCATTAATGATTGAAGTAATTCGTGGTTGATTATTCTTTACAAATGAATTCAGTAACTTTGAAAATCTCATCTTTTTATCAAAAAATTGTACATGTATTGTACATGTATATACGTATTTCTATGTTCTTTGAAATATATACATAATTATTACTTGTAAAGAACATCTTTCTTGTGTGGAAATGATTAACACTCCAATGTTAATAGCACAGTAAGTATTTTAATAAATTTAAATTATTCATCACTGATAAGTTCAATATTTTCTGTAACAATAAATAATTCTTTTAATATTTTAAAATAATATTCTATATTATTTTCATATTTATTATTAATTTTAATATTACATATTATATTTTCAATTTCATGTTATACTTGAAATATTTCTAGTGTTCGTTTTCTCCCTCTTTACAATTATAAGTAACATTTATCTATATGTTCCTTTATTCACATGGATGGATTAAGTATATTGTCCACATTTTCTATAATACTATAGACAATATACATAATATGATATAACATAATTAATATAATACATATTTTTTATATTATATATTCTTAAAAACATCAAGAAGCAAACGAATTTATTACACAACCTAATATTATATGTACAGAATACATTTAATAATAGAAAAAATACTTTTCAAGTATGAAAAATGTGAAAGCATTTTTAAATATGAAAACTGTGATTCCCATTCGTTTTAAATATGTTAAGTTGTAAATGATTATTCCTTTGACTTCCTTTGACTTTCCTTAATTTTTTTCTTTGACTTTCCTTTGCACCACTTTTAATCGTTGAATTTTCGTTCTCAAAGCTTGACGTTGCTGAGGAGGAAGGTATTGTATTTATGTTAGAAGAAACTTGCAATCGAGCAAAATTGGCCTTGGCAGAAGTAAAAGCAAATGCACATGTAATTATTTGATTGTTAATTGAATATATATCACTTCGTTAAAATTATTTTAGTTTTCATCTGTGTTTCTTTTCCAATTTGTTGATAATATCCACAATTTAAACAATCACGAAAATAACGAAAAATATATAATTTCATTAAAACTATTTTACTTTCTCATCCTTTTTTAAATTATTTTTCAAGCTATCAACAAATAACTGTATACTTATTTATAGAACATTGTATTATTATATATTTATTATTTATTATATATTATGATTAGAATTATATTTAATTATATCACAATATAATATATATTATTATTATTACTATATGTATTACTTAGTATTTATTATATATTATATTATATAATTATAGTATATTATATAGAACATATAATTTCATTAAAATTATTTTATCTTTTCATCTATCATCCTTTTTTAAATTCTGCATAATATCCATATTCTCAAGTAATCAAGAAAATAACAAATAACTGATTGAAATTATTGTTCACAGAAATACGAAATATATTCGTGGTTGTGGACGGACGATAAACAAGAATATTTGTCCTATTTTTTAAGATTTTCGCAATATGTAAGCCCTGAGCAAAGAGAAATGATCAAACAACATCCGGATTATATTCCAGACAACATAAAAGAAAAGAAACCAAATTTAGCAGACTTTAAACGGGAAATCGATTATTTCATGGATCAGTATAGTAAGTGCGATCAACTGCCAAATAGGGAAATATTTTGCCGGTGGTTGAAACTCGACATAAAACCTTTCAAGCAAACGCTGTTGAACATCATTTGCAAATGGGCAAACGTGTTGAAGGATTATTTGGTCAATCATATTACCACCCAGTAAGTAAATTTTACTCTTTTCCTTGAAAATTTTCTTCTATATTGTTAAAAAAAGAAATCTGACGTTTCGTTGAATTAAGGTTAGTTTTATTAGAAAATCAGTGAAACATTAATGTTATAGCTACACTGTGCATAAGTATTTGAACAATTATCGCAAGCATATAAAATACAGTTGATGAAATAGTTAATATCAGTTAATATAAATAAACAAGCAACAACTGAGGATGATTGAAAATTATGTGTTCTGATACTAAACAAGTCTGATGTATTTTTTTTATTATTAACAAGATATTTAATTATTATGTATAATTAATTTATTTTTTTTTTATTACCAGCCAAGATATTTAAATGGTTAGTTTTGGATATCTGACCCTGTATTTGATAAACTTTCAACCTCGGTTTTCTTAAGAACTAAATCTCGAAAGAAAAAATGTTATTTTCATTTGATTAATGCTTATTTAAAATCTGAAATTATTATAATGGTGTTTTTTTACAAAATTTCATAGAGAAATCTTAAATAAAAGGGATACACTTGAAAATAACCATATTGTGCATTTATTGTTGAAAAAAAAGTGGTGTATTTGCTTCAGTTTGTTTATATTTCCCAAGAAATGATAATGTTGTCATTGAAAATCATATTATGCGATTGTAATATTTGTCACATTCTTTAGGCAGTTGATATTAATCGCTTGTTAGTAACTAATATTGCATTAGTTTTAATGGAATATATTTATGTGCAAGAATTTGTAATTCCCATAAAACGATTAGCTTTCGAATGTTATATGCATTGATGATTATCTTTAAGTGTTATACCGACAAAGTAACGGAGAAAATTCAAAGTGTAATATTTGGAAATTTCATCGGCAGATCAAAATATCGGGTGTACTTCTTTGAATACGGCGAGCGTTAATAGGTTAAAATTAGAAAGAAATCAGAAATTATCGGGAATTTATCTCAGGATCGAAATAGGTTCCCGAATGTATCGGAATTCCTGAGTATCTCTCTTTTATCCTCCCTATTACCAGATATCCATTAAATTTTCATCTTTTCAAAAGTTTGGAATCATTTTTACGTCCAAAAATGTTTAAAGACAAAGTCTGTGTAACCTCTTGTGCTGGAATGACGTGCCACGCACGTCGACAATTTTCCAAATTGCAACATTTTCTCAGTTTTAAATATATTTAAATGTAACCCAGGCAAAACAAATGATAAGTTTATTATTTCTTAATAATTTCTATCCAGTGATATACCGATGAGTTCAAAAGAAAAAGAAAGCGACGAATTATTGTATACGGTTTGGTCACTCGTTATGGTCCGCGAACCAGTTGCCAGCGCAAGGGGTTAATTCAGGATTTATCGTTTCTAAAACCTAAAACTTCTTCGAAAATGGTATTTTTTCATTAAAATCCCAACATAAACTATATCATTTATAAACTATATATATATATATATATATATATATATATATATATATATAAACTTAATTCATATCTATTTCCTATATACTTAAATTTTCAACGGTTTTGTGTACTAAATATTTTTTTATAAATTTTTTCTACCGCACTTTTGGAAACACCGAACTTTTTTGCTATCACACGGTAAATTAATTGATTGCAGCAATCCGATATAATCAAATAACGAATTTGATTTGAAATTTCTTTTCTTGCTGACATTCCGCTATTTCCTTACAAATAATCTGCCCTGTACAAAGCGTAAGAATGGGAGCAACACTTCACATTTGTTTACATTGTTTGCCTTGGAGTAACGAAACAAACGAGTGTCCACTTATTTTTGTCCCTCGAAAATCAGCTAAGTTTTTCTTTAAGTATATCTTATTTCAATACAAATGTAAATATTAATTTCAATTATTCACTAAATAGTCTATGTAACATAAAGATATATAATATATAAAATTTAAGTACGTAACTACTTTGACTAAATTTAATTCATATCTATTTCCATTACTTGTCCATATATATTATATATGATGCTAATTATACTATAAATTATAAACTATATAAAATAGATTTCATATAAAGATTTAATAAATAGCGTACTCTTTCTAAACGTTTCGAAGAAAATTAATATTTTCAAGACACATACGTACATATATCATCCGAACAATCTATAAAAGGGAATTCTATGAATGCGAATCACGTGTTGACCTCTAACCGCAAATAGAGTCGATTTCTCTGAAACCACAATCGGGACGGTCGCTGTTGGCACTAATCCTGTATATTTGCGCAATGGAATAGTAAACTGAGTATTTGGCTCGGAATCACTATTCCGGGAAACTATCAAAGTACTTATTTCGTAAGCAATATAAACAGTTCAAGTGAAACTGATCATTTATCTATTACCCGAAATAAAATGTCAAGTTGATGTAATTTTAGACTCGCTTGGTACCATTTCATTTGATATTTCATTGTACAAATTTCAATGTGAGAACAGCATTTGAATCGGCGAATTAAAGTTGAAATAAAATAAAAACAATATTAAAATTAACATACAAATACGTAAAAATATATGTTGCAATAAAAACAGTCAAAGAAATAATTTATATCCGTGATTAAGATAATTCTTTCGGTTTAATGAATGTAAAAGTAATATTTCTTTCATTATATCGCAGACAAAGTATCAACATTATCGAAAAGAATTTATTCTTTGAAAACTATTACAGTAGAATCTCTATTATCGAAATTAATTAGAAGACAAATTTCTTCGAACAACTTTTTCTATACTAAATTTCATATATTTTAAACAGAAAATGTTAAGAATCCCGTAATTTTTTTATTCGCTATGTCGCATAAACTTTTTAACATAAATTTATGTCACTGAAATTTTTTTAATTCTAATTAGATCATCGCATAGTATTTTTATCGCATATGTGCATTAGATGTTGCACATGTGCGATAAAAATACCATAAAAGTATTATAAAAAGTACTAAAAGAGAAATTTTTCGAATAAAAATGTTCATATAAAAATGTTTACTACGTCACTGGAGACACTCAATGATTTACGAAAATCTTATTTATTTATCTTTGAAATTTAGATGATAAAGAGGATTTATGTTATTCTTCTAGATTTATATGACACTCTGTTTTTTAAATGTATCTTATTAAGTGTTCTATTCTGATTTATCTGCAGATAAAGTGGATTTTGAAATTATTATTTTGAATTATGCCTCTTTGATTAACAAAGTTTCTTTGATTGCAAAAACTTTGTTTCTTCTAGAAAACATTTATTTTCCGTCACTTTCAATCTAACTGTGTGATACTACTATAAGAAAATATCTGGAATATTTAATTATACATATAATAATACTTATAATTAATGAACAATTTAAACACACTTTTTTATTATTTGTTATTTTATTATTTTTTAGTGCAATTTTTTGTTTTTTTTTATTACTTTTTAATAAATACATTTTTAGAAATTTATATAGATTGCATATAATATGAGAAACTATATTAAATATTCAAAGTGTAGTGCTTTCCATAATGTTTGTTACGTAAAACAGTTTAAATCTGTTTTTTTAATTGTGTATATTCTCAAGGATATGAATTTATATAAAAATCCGTAGTTTATTAGTTTTTATTTTTCAATTTAATTTTACAGACTATAATAGGTAAACAGTTATACTAGATTTATAATAACTATCATAGTACAAAATTATTTAGAGAACAAAAAATAATAGATATGTTTATATTACATTTTCAATAATTATAAATATGAATTGAAGGAAGGTACATTGGTATAATATATGGAATTGATATACTTCAATCAAAATAGAAAAAGTTCATTTATTATATTTGTTCTTTATGTAAAATATCAAATGTCACTTCAGTGATTTAAATTTTGTTTTTCTTTTTTTAATTTTAGATTAAAGGATTTATCAGAATTTTTAAAAGCAGCGATGGAAGACTTCTCGCGTCCTATACATGAAGATGATTATGACGCCCTTTTAGATACTATATATTATTTAAAGGAAGTCAGAGATCGTCAATACGAAATTGAAGACATGTTCGATCCTATTAAGGTAATTATAATAATAATAACTATAAAATAATAAATATAGAATGATAAAATTTTACATAGTTATCCGAAATAATAATTATATATATTATTTTATAATGAAGCAGGATCATTTATTTTGTATTATTTTATAAAAATCAATGTTAAATAACAAAACTCTTAATAGGAATTTAACAATTATTATTATTCCAGAAATGTGGAATAGATGAAAAAATATTAAAAAGAATAATTTTAAATAAAATGTAGTAAATACATAAGATATTCTTAAAACAAAATTACATAACTTGAAATTCTGAGTCATTAATTAATTCATATTGGTGTAATGATATAGGCGATATGTATATTTAAGTAAGAATAATGGAATATTTTATAAAGAGTTCGTATTACAAAAAATTATCTTAACAAAAATTGTTTAACGTGGAGAAAGTAATCATTTGGTATAGATATTTTTTGATAAAATAACAGCATTGGATTTCAATGGAACGTCATATCTTTTTATTCATAATGTGATGATATTTAAGATGATAATATTTATTATGATCTGTGAAAAACTAGTGAAAGTAAATTTCAAGTTTTTAGATAGAAATTTATACCTTTCGTTGCATTTTATTGCAACTGAGATCAAAATGTTTTCAAATCTACTTATGCTTTTTGTATTTATGTTGTATTGCAATATCGCATTGATGCATTACATTTGCAAATTTCTTCGATCTGCATTATTAAATTTTATATTTTAAGAGTACGATCGCAAAAGAACTCCAATGATTTGTTCAATACTTTTCCTTCCATAAATTCTAAAATTTTTTGAAAAAACAAATTGAAATATTTATGATGATATGATAAATTATTATTCTTAATGAAACTCTTTTCTTAAAAACAACTTACATATAAAGATATCATTATACTCACAAATATATGTCATCTTATATGTATCATTCCTTGGGAATAACAAGTAAAATAAATTCTGGTTTTTGATATATTGAATACCATTGATAAATTGATACGTTTTGCTTATGGAATGGAATATTTAATTTGGTGAAACTGCAGTTTAGAGATCTTGTCTTCAATGCTTTAATCTTCACATATGTCATATATTATCATTATATTTATGCGAAATTTAAAAATATACGCAATATAGAAAAATATGTACGTAAAATGTACGTAATATACAAAAATATCAAAAAATAAAAAAATATCGAATTATCCGTTCCATCCGATTTTTTTTTTACGCGGAAGAAACCAGCATGAAAAAGATACTAAAAAAAAAAACTGATATATGTAAATTATAAAAGATTTATTTTACATATTTTCAGGAAAAAATCAATGAGAATCGTATGTTAATAAATAATATTCTTGGTACTTTGTTAAGTTAAGCTATTTTTTCTTACAAAAAGTAATTATCAATAATAAAAAAAAGAAGGAAAAGGACCGCGTAAAATACGTAAATTGAAACTGCATATAAAAGTCGCATAAATCGAAGAATATATGTATATATACGGTTCACGATAATATTAATATATAAAATAAGTATTTCAATAATTGCGTAAAATGTGAATTTACATAAAAATCCGTAGTCTAGTTATTACTTTCTTGAGTGAGCTTCAAAAGATTCTAGTTTGTTAAATCATGAGTTAAACTTAGAATTACTTTTTACGTAAAAAATTGCACAAAGACTCAAAACTGTAAATTATATTAATAAATTCAGGCACACAGATGTTAAAATTTTTCAAAAGTCATTGCTTTGAAATTATATAAATAACTAACTGATTACACTGACAAACTGATTATGAAACTATGATAATATTAAATAATATAACAAAAAAAATCTTGACAGAGAAAATCAAAACAAATTTAGGTATAGAAATATTAATACATATAATAATACATATATAATATTACATATACATATAATAAAAAGAATGTACATATAATAAAAAAATTCATGTTGTAATAAGTTCAATTTTTCATAAACTTCATACATATCAATCAATTGATAGATTCTAAATGAAATTAATATATCACTAATCAATTTTTATATTTTGTCAAACGAAAAAGTGCTATTTTATATATCATAATGTTACGTAATACTTTTCGCTTATCTTTGTCTATGAAGTACAAATAAGTTTCTCAGTGAAAAAAGCCTGAAATATTGATAAAATAAGAAGTATTTTCATTTTCATTAATATTTTCTCAAAATTAAATCCAAAAATTATATTCTTTCGTTTTGTTAAAGCTTTACAACAAATGCTATAAATCGTGAATCAATTACATAATACGAAATGTATTTCATATAATTGTTTTCCTTTAAGAGAAAATATTATTTCTTATTGAAAATGGAATTTTCTATAAGGAAAATTGTATTGTTATATAAACATCTAACATTCATAGGGAATTCCTGTGATTTATCTATCAAAAAGCGATAGATGTATGCATTCAAATGCCATTTACTGGAAATTCCACTTTTAAATGAAATAAATGCTACTATCAAGTCTATCGGAAAATTTTGTCCATTTTCTGACGCATAAAGTCTATAAATATAAGACTGTTATGCACCGAATGATTGAAATATTGTGTAATAAATTTTTATCGATGATATACTTCAAACTATATTAAAAACGTTATTTATGTATATACTTGATTGCACTAAATAATACACAGAAATCAATATGAATAAATATTGTTTGCAATCATATCATTTAATAATAGTAATTAAGGGAAAAGAATCGTCATGAATATTTAATAAAAAAGTTATTTCTCAGTATTTAATTAAAAATACTAAATATTTTAATGTGGGAAATTAAACTGTGAAGTAACTATAAACTACGAGACTTAATTTATTATTCTAACAGAAAATAGTGAACAAATGTTATTGATTGTAAGACAAAAATTATTTAAATAACGAAGGTTCTGGAAAATTGTTTCTGATATATTTAAAAGTAATTATTTCTATTATTAACGAGAACTTTAACATCTCAGAAATTTTAGCAGTTTTGATTAGTTCTATAATATTATAAAAAATTAAAAAGATAATATAATACTGTAAAAATTAAAAAAGTAATACATATATATTATGTCAACATAGTGTATTAATATTAAATGTAATTTTAAATAAAAATTAACAATAACAAAACAAATAACTTTAAATATTAATAATTAATATATAACATTTGAAACTCTCTCTCTGTATAATTACTATTTTAAATATTTCATGATAATTGAATAATTTTCAGAAAACGATAGAATTACTACAAAGTTATAACGTGTATTTAGACGAAAAGATTTTTAATTGGCTGGAAGAATTACCTGTTACTTGGGAAACATTGAAAAAAGTAGCTGCTCAAGTGAAACATGTTGTTCAACCTTTAATGACTCGTCAAATCGATCTTTTGAAGAAGAGGCTAAGTTATTATGATTTTAAGCAACAGCATTTCTTGAATGAATTCCATCAAGAAAACATTTTCAAGTAAGCTAATCATTTTTATAAATTATTATATAGAATAATAGTAATATAATATATAAATATAGTATAATAATATAATTTATTATTATAATATATATTTTATAAAAATTATGTTTAGAAATTTTCTAATTTATACTTTATGTTATTTTACGATTTTTTTAAAGATTTTCCTATCATTGTTATTTGTTCTTAAAAACTTATTGAAGTATTAATTTAATCAGTTATGTAATTATTTTAGTATATCCGTTTTTCGTTTTATGCCGTACTTTTTCTATGCAATCCTTTCTTTTCTTTTCTAATTATTATTATTAATTATTCTAATTATTAAGATTCTAGAATTTTATAAATTTTAAAATATTTTATGAACATTATAAAAAAAATAGAATCTAAAGAAAATTGATTTTATTTATTGAATATTGTAAATAAGTAATATAAAATAATTTTATATATTATATCCATATATTATATGCATTTTTACAATGTATATGATTTTCATTGATTTTTTCGTGAAAATACGTGAAATAAATCTTTTTGTAGTTTACGTCGGTTTTTTCTTTAATATCTTTTTCGTATTCATGGACTTCTTCGGCGTTAAAAGAAACTGTAGAGCGAATAATTCGCGTAAATTGAGGTGAGCTAGAAGATTTATGTTGAAAATGGATACAAATGAAGCATACTTTGGGATAAAAGTGATCTAAAATTCAATTACATTTTTAAATCGTAAATAATTTTACGATTTATCTATCTCTTTGAATATATATTTCTGGTAAAGTTTTCGATCAAACAAAAATAATTAAAACATAATATGAAACATAATTTCAAAAAACATAAAAATCTTTTAGATATAAAATATTGTTGTATTTGTCCCAAATATATGAAAAATTAAAATCAGCGATTTTGACTGAACTCTTTTATACGAGATATTATTTCAATGTTTTTAAATATTTTAAAATATTTGCATTTGATTGAAACTGTTTACTCTAGAATTGGTAACACTATTTAAATAATAATTTTACAGTAACTCTTATTAATATTCAGATACCATGGTGTTTGAGAAATCATTGATCTACATATTTATTTAGATTATTCAATCTAATATATGAAAATACTTATTGTATTATTATAATTAGTAATTATTTAATGTGTATAGTTCTTTGCAAAAGTTAGTAATTAAACTAGTAACTAAATAATGGCTAAATGAAACCTAATGAATTGAAACTAAAATAAACTTGATAGATAATTAAAACTAAAAATAAAATTAATTGAAATAAAAATAATGGAAGGTAAAACAATTCGAAAAATGAGCAAATTATATTAATTTTTAATATAAAATATGTACAAATACAATGTATTCATATGTATATCTAAAATGTATGAAATTAATATAAATTTGATACTTGTCGAACTCACTATTTGAATTCTTTTGCAATTTCAATTTTGCTGTTATTTAATTTATCTCTTCTTATACAGTGCATAAATAAAATTTATGTCTTTGGCAATTATAATAAAGATTTTAATATAGATATATATATATTTAATATAGATATATATTAGAAAACACTGAAACTATTAATAAAATTATTATAATACTGCACGAGAGATTATTATTCTGTATACTTATTACTATTATATTAATCTTATATATTTATATTATAATAATATCAATAATCAATAAGATTATTATATCTTAATAATATTAATATTATATTATTAATATAATATTAAATTTGCGTATATATGATACAAATTATTTCTATTTTAGTTATCTTCATTTTTTTTTTAGAAATGTTTACTCGAATATCGACGTTATGTACGTATAATCCTCGTTAATGATTAATTAATTGCTACTGAATTATCGAGACAACAAAAATACTGTTTCTTTACATTTTCACTCTAACTGTAAAATTGTTTTAATCAACAAATTACTGATTGTGAATTCATATGATCAAGTTGATCTCAGATCAGTGCTTGAATTAATTTTAAGTTGACCGAATAATATTTAATTGGCAAGGCAAATCAACTCTGTCTCTTCTGGCTTAGTGCATTCTCTGTTTCTCAGTCGTATCTTTGACGTACGCACGGCGGAGTTAGACATCAGCTAATTCGTGGAAATATATCTCGGTCTCAAACAGCGGCCATTTATCTAGACGCTACTGTGCAACTCGTCTTACAATTAGTTGCGTGAGTCACTCTGTATACAGCGTACATGTACTGAAATAGATAATTAAATTTTCATACCATGTTCTGCAAATTTTTACTAAAAAAGGTACAAACGTGAGTGAATTCTTCGTTATAATTAAATTTATATTAAAATTTTACATGAGTAGTTCTCACTCGTAAAATAACAAACATTTCCATTGTATTTTTTCTATCTTTTTTTTTTTATTACAAGAAAATAATGTTTTGGAAATTAAATTTCCATGATTTGATGCAAATTTATATTTTTGACAATAAATTTACGTTTTATATAAATTTTATATTTTTGAGAATTATTAAATAGTATTGTTGAATATGGTAATTTATCTTAGATTACTAAAATTTGAAATAGTTGATTTATTTTATTTTATATTTTGCATTCTTCATGATAGAAATTAGTACTAAAATTCAATTAAATAAAATTTCAAAACTAATTTAAATCTAAATTATTATGGTCCTCGATGGTTCAATAATGCTATATAAGTTAAAAATAATTAAGAAATTATTTTACTTATTAAATGCTATGGAAAATATAATACTTTTATATATTTCATGTATATGTTTTTAAAAATATATTATATGTATTTTGTGCAATTTTGCACTTTAAAATTTCCTGCAAATGCACAAAAATCTGCAGTGGAGCTATAGAACATGATAATAAAACAAAAAATACATTTATAAATAATATTCTTGCACGATAAATATAAATGCATTTTCGAATTTTTGGCTATGACATTATTTTATAACATTTATTTATAATAATTCCCAATAAATCAGGAACTTATAAATATGTCCGGTAATGTCTGAAACATTTGTCTCAAAATATGTACATATAAGCGTATAGAAGAAAATCACATTTAGTAAGAAATTATTTTGTCTGTGTTACGTGTCTAATTTTACTCGCCAATTTATACAAGGTGGTCCATTTAAGTGAGATCACCTAATATTTTTACGAATTGTGATGATACAAAAAATATTTTTTGCCTATCGTGAATAATATTGAAAGATCTATAACTGGTAAGAATTTTTTTTAAGGACTGATGTTTTTTACCTATATTTTTTTTTATTGAATAATTGAAATTCTTTCAATAAGTATGGAACTTCTTCAATATTGAATAACTTTTATTAATAAAGTTTATCCACATTTCTAAAAAGAACGGATGTTTAGGTAATCCCATTTAAAGAGTTACATATCTTTGATTAGTTGTAAGATAAGGAAAATTTAAGAATTTTTTACAGATAAAATTATATTTGAGTAAAAAAATAATATGTACATGTTATTATATGTTATGCAATTAGTAATTTGAACTAAATAAACGAAAATAGGAGGATATGGCAATCATTTAGCAAACGTTTGCAATATCAAATATATCTTCATGAGATTTTATTTAAAATTTGTTTAATTTTACGTTAAGTTGTACAAGAGAAGCTAGTACTCGTCGAAACCAATTTTTAAAAAAATGACAGAATTTTCAACTTCTTTTGTTAATAAAAGAAATGCATGAATAAAAATTCCACATAATTAAGTACTAGATAAGCCTTGAGAATATTGCCACAAATTTTTATCCAAATTGATTCAGTAATCTTTCAGATATTTCGATTTTGAAAATTTCATTCCGAGGAAAAAATGCTTTTTAAAGTTTCAGATGTCTGTTACCATTAGATGCTAACAAAAAAGCTGTTAGTTAATTATTTTCTAGAGTGTTTCAAAAGTATCGCGATAACAGAATATGTAATTTTTGGAAACTCGATTTTTTCAAAGGTACATAATAATCTTAAGTGGTTCACTTTAAATATAATGTTAAACGCAGTAGCTGACTGACAATTGTTTAAACTTATTTTAGGTAGTAGTTCTAAGAAACTGCCAATAAAAACAATAACATGAGTTGATTACAATACGACTTATAATAGCATTTTGCTATTTTATGCGCATTGCGTTTAGTGTTGTCCTTTACTAGAAGCGTGCAAGAACTCGAAATATTAAATTCGATCGCATAGAGAATTCATCTTGTAATCAAACTATTTCTCGAAAGTATTGTATAATTCGAGATTGTCAAAATTTTCAGGAATTTTGGGATTTCTGAGAATTACAAATCTCTCGAAAATATTGAAATTCTTGAGAACTTCAAAAATTCGAACGACATCCATAAGATTAAAGAAACGCTAAATTTTAATAAAACAAATTCTATATTCGAACTGTTATAATTTTGTAAAAGAATAATAGTCTAACAATTAGTTAGTTATTAAAATAATAGTCTATTTCGATTCATTTTAAAGATTGAAGCTCGTATTTTGATATCTATAAATTGAATTATCTTATTTTGTATGTATGTATATTAGAAAACAGAGAGAAGAATTGAAGATGGTTTTCATTTTAAGACATGTTGCAAATTGGAACAACTTTGAAGAGTTTACAAAATTGTTTGCGTTCATTTTACAATAAATTTTTAGAGAGAAAAGTCTGTTTTTACAACAATACCTGAAAAGTTGAGGAACAATTTTTTTTCAAAAGATTACAGCAATTTGAGGATCGGCAATTTCTCAATTAAAATTTATTGTTCTCTTAATTTCATGAACGAATACAATTTCGAAATGTTATTCAAGTTTTCAAAACTTATAAGTTCATTTTCTAAACTTATAAAAATCATATATAATAATTTCATATATGATTATTAAATTTTATAAAATGATATATGAAATTTCATGTATGAATAATCATATTTCTGCTCATTAAGCGCTCTACTCATTTTACCACCGAGATTAATTAGGAACGCTTTTTGACAAGTGACTAACGCATCTTTTTATATTTTTTTTTTCAATGTGAACTTTTATGAATTGATAACGAGGCTTGGTAACTAAGAATATTATATAGTTTTAAGAATTATAACTCAGATTAATTTTCAATAATAGATTTTAAAATCTCGGGAGGACGAAACTAATTTTTTTTCTTTTAATATTTTTTGAAGGTTAAAAGTTTGTATTATATTTCATCATTTGTAAATTTATATGTTTGTAAGAAGACATTTTCGGAACTACGTTCGTATGATCTGCTTTTATTTCTAAAAATAGCAGAATAAAGTAAAAGTATATTCATATACAAATTTTCACATAAAAATTAAAAATAGAAGAAAATTTCCAAGACATAGATATTTATAAATAGATATAAATATTTAAAATTATTTTTTCAAGTTATTTCGTTTCTGTTTAAATCGAATTATAGTTCATGAGTCAGTTTTGCTGGAACAATTTAAAATTCATAGTATTGTGGCTAATGTCAAAACAAGTTCAAAAGAATTCTAGACATTGAATGCATTGAAATCTACAGTCGTTTAAACTGTAATAAACGTCAACGGAAACATTAATGTATATGATTCCTTGTAACGTATATGGTTCCTTGAAACATTGAGGTTTCTCCAAAACAGTGACGTATGTATTGCTAACAAATAACTTTTAAATAGAGATTCTTAGTAGAGCCTCTCTATCTGAATTAATAGAATTAATAGAGAGATAAAAGTTAATGAAATAGAAGAACTACTTTTCTGATATTTAATTACATGTACTCAGATGAAGATCAAGAAAATCATTCACTTATTTTAATATCTAAAAATGCATAAAAAAGATATTTCGATATTTCAGAATTTAAGAATCATATCGTTTTTTATTTGCTAACTAACTTTGTGCAGTTATATTCTTTTTGGTGTTTCAAATTCAAAGTATCGAATTTCTTCTCGAAGCAATACCTTCACTATTTCAGTATAGACATATTTTCATTATTATGGAAAAGTTATGTCTATGATATTTCTATAACTAATAATATATGAGTTATGAAAAAAAATATTTTATTAAAATTTTATATTTTGTACTATATAAATTATAAGTTGAATTTTAATTTTTTAAATAGATGCTACATATTTTTTTATATCATATGAAATCTTGTATTAAAACGATAATAGTGTATTACGCAATGATCTTGGGTGTCATACCAGGAACAAAAATGAAAGAAAAATTTTGAATATTTTGAACCATTTTATTTACTACATAGAAATGTATTCATAAAATATTTAAACTTCTTTTCTATTTTTGAACCTAGAAAATCATTAAGACAGCTGATTGAATTCGTTTTAATTTATGCTTTTATATAATATAAAAAAATACGTGCATTCTACTTAAAAAATCAATTCATTTTCTAAAAAATAATACAGGTACAAAAAAATTTCATACATTATTGTGTTACTTACAAAAAACAGTATTCTTTCATTTTTTTCTCATATTTACGAGAAAAAAAATGTAAATCCGTGGACACTCTGTACATGAAAAAAAAAATTTAGTGTAAAAAAATCATCTATTACTGTTCAATTATTTCATAAATTTTTTATTTTTTATATAACAATTATTTATTCTTTATTTTCAATTTGTACGCCTCTAAAAAGTAATTCATGTTTTTTTTTTTTAATAAGAGGAAATTTCTAATAAGAGAAGTTTTATAAATCCTTTAATATTTTTTTTCTTTTTTTATTTTATTATTGAAATTATAAGAAACGTTTCTACATTAATGACATCTATAATAAACAACTCATTTACAGAGTAAAAAGCTTGAAACTAAAATAAAATACTATCTTCAAGTAATATTATCATACAAGTAGGATAATTTCTGTACGAAGTTTAAAAAAACGCGGTTATTATAGTTATTATAGTATAAGTTTTATTAATAATAATTCACAATCAGTTATTTATAAATATCTCGAATATTTTCAAAATATTTTAAGATTTAATTTTTATATTACAGTCCAATTTGTGAAAATCCTTACGAAAGTCTAAACAATTTACGTGAAAAATTTTTAAAATTCTTGAGCGAAGAAAAAGATTTACATGATCAGACTGCCATTTTTGAGCAGGAAATGCCTGAGTTTAAAATAACAAAACAGATACAGAAAGAGATGCAACTTTTGAAAACTGTATGGGATTATGTAAATGTCATTACAACTTCTCTAAATGAGTGGAAAAAAACTACGTGGAAAAAACTAGATGTCGAATGGATGGATCAAGAATGCAAGAAAATTCTCAGAGAGTTAAGACGTAAGCAAATATCTGTTTCCTTTTGCTTGCAACTTTTTTCACGGTGATGAAAACTTATCAAGTTTAATTTTTTTGATTTTCTTGAACGTAAACCTTTATCAAACAGCATTAAGTTTTCTTGAATAAATTTTTTTGATAACAAAAATTTTGTCCAGCGTCAAAGTTCTTGTTTTATAATTACGTACGTATTATTAGAAACGCATATTATGATAATCGCAATTTTAAAAATATAAATAAATTACTTAATTAAATATTAAATAAATTAAATGTTATTTTAAAAAAATAATATTCTCAAATGTGGAAAAAAGACTGAATTTATCAAACCAACACAAGTAATATTGCTCATTTTCTTCAATAATAGCATAATTTAAAATTTGCAGTTTTCAGTTATAGAAAAAACAATTATTATTTGTACTTTTTATCGGTAGATTTCTGTAAGTGTAATGTTCGAAATATTATTATAAGGATTTGTGTGTGGTGTGTCTGTATGTATATGGGACACTTTGATGTTATGTTGTAACAGAATTATAAAAAAAACATTCAACCTCGTTTTCCCTAAAATTACGCACTTGGAGTTATATATAATGAGATTTATAACAGAAAAAATTATTTGGTACATTCATTGTTTGGTACAATCATTTGATAAACATTCATTATTATTAGACAGTGTAAAATCTATTAATTAAGTAATAAGTAATAATTAAGTATTAAACAATAATAAAGTCTATTAGACATTTAATAATAAAAAAATATTAGACATTTGTACATAATGTCTTACTTAAATGGGATTACTGCCGTATTTTTTTTTATATTAAAAGACTTTTCCGGACAAAATTACACTATTTTAAGGATTGTATTGATCGCTGGAAAGAAATTTTTTTTTAAATTATTTTTTTTACTTAAATTTTAGAGTCGATATAATAAATTGATAGTTTGTTAAATGGTACTTGGTAGTTTGTTAAATGGTATTTTTTTAAATATTCTTACAGAAATTCAATGAAGAAACAAATTCAATAATATCTGTGACCATTTTATTCAGACCATTTGCATACATAAAAATGCATAAAATTCGCAATCTAATAATAATATATTGTAAAGTTACATTAACATTCTTTTTGTAGATATAATATTCAAATAATATTCATTTGGATAAATTTCTGATTTAGTGATGTCAATTGTTAATTTAGTAATGTTTCCCAATTTTGTCTATTTCTGTCTATTATAATTTCTTTAATATGACATGTTTTTTTTTTAAGTAACAAGAATTATATAACTTTTTCGAACTGCTCCAACTGATTTCTTGTTTTAGTGATGAACTTATTAAAAAAACGGTAGCGAAATAGCAAAAATTGGGAAAATCCGCTAAATTAGAAATTTATCTTCATTTGAAAATGAAAACTAAATATGACTCCTGTATTTATAGAGGTATGGTTTTATAAAACCACACCTAAAATTAGGTAAAATGATTGTTCATTGCAAAATAATTGTAATAATCTCACAAATATTTTCCTTGCTAGAATTGGACAAAGATGTTCGTTCTTGGGAATTGTACAGCAACATCGAAGCACAAGTAAGGAACATGATGGCATCATTGAGAGCAGTCTCAGAATTGCAGAATCCAGCAATTAGAGACAGACATTGGAGAGAATTAATGGCGGAAACAAAGGTAGTTAACAGTGTATCGCTAATACCGAGTCCATGGTATCATGGAAACGTTTACTCGTTATTGCTTAAATCTTCTTCGTTTCTATGCTCAAGTTGCAGCAACTCGATTACTGTACATGGGAAAACATATTCTGCTTATACTTGAACTCGTTAAATCTGAGCTAGATCTTTGGCTAACTAGGTTAATTCTTGGTTAAGCCTTGATTTTAATTACAAATTTTAATTACAGCAGTGCGCGGCGAAAACTACGCAATATTTAATATGAAACGAGCTGAAAATCTCAGGGATAGTTATTACTAGATTGCGAATATTTGTGTAAATTTATATTTTTATGAAAATAATTGAAAAAATTGAATCTAAATAGTAATTTATATTATCAGCTGAATATATTGTATGGATTATGATTTTTACTAAGGTATTTTGTATATTTTTGTATTTTTTATATCCTGCATCTTCAATTTTCTCAATATAATTATAATTATACAAATATAATAATAATAATAATAATTGCAACGAAAAAAACATAATCAAAATATTAAATATAACAAAAATATGAAAAATGTAATAACAGTAATATTAATAATTATAAATTAAAGTATCATTAATAATAGTAGCAAATTTAATCAAAAAGTTATGCATTAATATTAATAATTATAAATTAAAGTATCATTAATAATAGTAGCAAAATTAATCAAAAAGTTAACAATAGTAATTAATTAATCTATGTTATAGCTTTTGAAATTAAATTAATTTCATCTAATTTGATATTCTTTTTTTTAGAAATTATGTATCGCATATTTGTCTTATTTATATTTTGTTTAATTAATTTACTAACGTATTATCACATTTTATGTCAATAATAAATAATGTATGCGTAAGCATAATTGGTTTTTAATTTTCAAATTAGAGTGAAATAATATAATTGATTATATTCGTATAACATATAATACATAAAATAAATTATATATAATGTATAATATATAAAATATACTTTAAATTAATTTAAAAATATATATATAACTTAAAATAAATTATCATAATTTATATATAATAATTATAAAATAAATAGTTTCCATGTGATAATTCCTATTTGAATGAATCAATGAATTTTAATATTTAAAATAATATTATTATAAAATTTTAAAATATATTAATTGTATTTATTAAATGTATCATATATATTATTTATTAATTAATTACGGAAGTTTTTTACTACTTAGAAGAGGAAACTTACTTTACATGGAAAATTCTTGTATGCAATTTAAAATACAAGTACAACAGTGGGAACACAAAATATAATATAATTTATCACACATAAAAGTTATAATATTTGTTGTTGTAAAATTAAATTATTAAATATTGCAGGTAGTATTCATCATGACCGACACTACCACGTTGGAAGATTTATTAAAGTTACAATTACATAAGTATGAAGAAGAAGTTAAAAATATTGTAGATAAATCAGTAAAAGAAATGGCAATGGAAAAGGTATTAAAAGAACTTTACGACATTTGGAGTACGCTTGAATTTGGCAAAGAACTACACGAGCGTACGAAATTATATATTCTTAAAATCGAGGAAGAAAATATTGAAACTCTTGAGGATAATCAGGTATTGTTTCGAGATATTTCTTTATTAAGAAAATAAGTTAATGAAATATACAGAGATTGTTCAAAAGAATAATTCTTCACATATTTAATATTAGAATTAAATAATTCTTTTTAATACATATCTATATAATAAATAATAAAAAATAAAATCAATTATTGCAATTTTTTGTTTATTAAGCTTTTATTTTATTTTACTTTATTTTTACTTTGAATTTCTTTAGCAACAATTTCTTTTATGATACTTTTATACTTGTTAGACTTCCTCATTTATAAATATAAAGACTAATATAAATATATAGAAGACTGTATTAGTAGTAATAAACTTTATTTCGTTATCAGAGCCATGAAATGTGGACTTCGTGTACATATTTTCCTTTTTTCTCACTCACTCATTTCTCTCACTCATTCCAATACTGTTTTACAACGCTGTATTAAAAAACTATATTACTTTGATTATTTTAAATTTTACATACATTTTACTTCTGTAAACTTATTTTCTATTTTCTTGTTTATTTGCTTTGATTTTAATTTTTCCTGATTTTCTTTTTGCACTTTCCTCTTTGGTGTATATCTTCTTATTGCCTTCTCTTGTTAGTTCTCTCTTTTTCCTTACCATCTCCAGCCATCTTTCTACTTTCTTATCTCTCCTGCCGCTAACCACTTCCTCTTCCTCTACCCCTCCCTCTCTCTACAGTCTCTCACCAGATGTTCGATTGTTCTTGGTGCCTCATTGCACAGGTCGTACTTCCTCTTCTCTTCCTCTTCCCTACCTATTCTCCTTTTCCATGCTTTCGCACCTTGCTAGTGCCATCAACTTCTGGCTGTCTCATTTTCTCGCCTTATCCAAGTACTCTAGGAGCCTTTGTCATGTGCTTATATCTTTTATTGTATCGTGATTTCTGAATCTTGTTGTATTGTATTTATCCCTGTTTTTTCTATGTCGTATCTTCTTAATTTTTCGGCTATTGTCTTGGCATCTTCCCCTCGTATTCTTTCCTGCTCCAACCCCAGCATGCTTATTCCATTCTTTTTTAAGTATTCTTCCTTTTCCTTTCCACTTTTTGTTTTCTGTTTCCCTTCCTCCTTTTCTTTCAGACATTCCTTCACCAGTAGTCTTCCTGTCCCTTCTCTTACTTTCTCTTCAAACATTAAGGCTCTATTTCCCGCTACTACCCTTACTTTTGTTCTCTTCGTTTCCTCCAGGACAATATATTCTGGTGTTCTGATGTCCAGTCCTGTCTGTCTACTTGATGTACTTTACATTTAGTTTTTCGACATCTGCTCTCTCTTGGTATCCCCATAGTGAAGCACCATATAGCAGAACTGCCAAAACTAGGCTTTCAAATAGGAACATTCTCATCTTGAAGTCTGTCTTAAATTTTCGTACCCCGTACCCAGACTTGATTTAAAACGACACTTGCCTTCTTTATCCTTTCTTCAACATGCCTTGTCATGTTCCCATTTCTTTGGAATACTATCCCTAGGTAGCAGAACTTATTTCCATCCCTGTTTCTGTCTTATGCTTCTTCCTTTTCCGAATACCATTATTTTCAATTTTTTCACGTTCAGTGTTAGATCCTTTTTGTCTAAATACCTTTCCAAAATCTTCATCGATCTTCTCAGCTCTTTCTCGCTAGTTACCAGTACTACTACATCATCCGAGTAAAATCTGTGCTTTCCTATTGCGACCCCTTCCCCTATTTAACTCTTGCCCAATTCCTTCTCCATTTCCGCTATATATATTATAAACAGAGTCGGACTAAGCGAGCAACCTTGTCTCAGTCCAATTCCTGTCCAGAACTCTTCTGATTCCTTCTCCCCTGTTCTTACCACGTTTCTTGTTTCTTCATACATTTCCTTTATCCTCTCTATCAGGCCTTTCTCTATTCTGCAGTTCTCCATACTTCTCCACAGTTTGTCTCGCTTTACTATGTCGAATGCCGCTTTCAGATCGACAAACATTGCATATATTTTTCCCCTCGGCTTTTGCGTTTCTCTCTCTACTACATATTGTAGGATATATGCATTGTCTATCGTGCCTCTGTCTTTTCGGAAGCTCGCCTGCGATTCCGGAAGAATTTTCTTTGCCTTCAACTGACTTCGCAGCCTTTCGTTTAGCTGCCGTGTATATCTTATATGTGGTACTGAGTAGACTTATTTCTTTATAGTTTCCTGGTTCTTCTGGGTCTCCTTTTTTTGTGTAGTACTGTCACTACTGCTTTTCTCCATTTATCTGGGAAACCTTTGCCCTTCCAGACCTTCCTTATTACTTCCTTCAATTTTCCTCTCGTGTTCCTTTGACTGTACTGTCATGCTTCATTTGGGATCCCCCCCCCCCGGTACATTCTTTTTTTAGCCTTTTCATTTGTCTCTCTATCTCTTCCTCTGTCAGTTGTATTATGTCATCATCTGTATCAACCATCTCTCGCTTCTATCTTTTCATCCGCTCCTCCTAGCAAAATTTTGAAATGTTCCCCCCATGTCTCTATTTTAATTTTACTGTTACTGCTTGTCTTCTTTTTTCTTTCTTTATTTATGTACTCCCAGATTTTTCTCTCGTTTGTTGCCCTCCTGATTTCTTCCTCCTCTTCTTACTTCTTGCGTTTTTGCTTGCACAGGCTTCTGAACTCCGCTTTCTTCTTTGCGTAGTCTTCTTTCTTTATTTTCCTGTTTCCAATTCTTGTAGCATCTCATCAGTTTCTTTTTTTCTCTGGTGCATTCTCTATCTCACCAATATTTCTGTCCAGGCCTCCGTTTCCGCAGTACTATTTTCTTTGTCTCCATCGCTTCTTCTACCGCCGTTTTTAGATTTTCCCAGTCCTTGCCTACCTCCTCTTCTTCCTCGAAACTCTTGTCTTTCGTTTCTTCTTTGTACTTCTCTATATATCCTGACTTCCAGCATTTTATCTTCTTTTCTTGATCCTCCTCTGCTTCTAAACTGTTTCCGCCGCAGGTCTTTATTGTCACGCACAAGAGTTGGTGATCGGAGTCTATTCTGTCTCCTACATAGAACTTTTCTATCATGTTCAGTCCTGTGTTGTTGGTCATAACGTAGTCAATGACAGTGGCTCCACGCTTCTCTGCATAGGTGAATTCTCCTGTTTCATCTCCTTTCACGTTTCCATTGAGGATGTGCCATCCCCTTTCTTCTACCAGCTTCTATTTTTTTTCCTTTCTCGTTGATTACACTGTCCTTTGAGTTCCTCTTCCGGCTCTCCATTGTATAATTTTCCCTCCCTTCCTATTCTTGCATTAAAATCTCCTCCGATTATTAGCATCTCTTCTTCTTTCTGTTCTAAATTCTCCTCCATTTCCGATTTAAGTTTCCCCATCATTTTATTCGAGTAGACCGTATAGATGTTCCAGACTTCCTCATTAATTTTTACCTTTTTTCCCACGAGTCCCTCAATTGTCCTTGTTTCTTCTATCTCTTCCCATCCTTCTTTTATTCGTATAATAATTTCTCTAGCCTTTCGTTTTTCTTTCCTGGCTTCTTGGCAGCTCCATGTAAACCCTTTTGAGAGTGTTCCTCTCATCCTTTCCCACCCCCTTTGGTCTGCACATGTTTCCGTCAATCCGACAAAATCGAAGCTTGCCACATATTTCTAGAAGTCTTCATTCTTCCTCTCCATTCCTGCTACATTCCAAAATATTAGTCTGCCATTCCTTCCCTCTTTAACACTCTCCACCTAGAAGACAGTATTATATTTTGTATTATATAAACAAATACAAATAAATCTTGACAAACAGTGCAACAAATACATATACAAATTACGTTTTCTATACTTGTTACAAAAATATACGTATCTATCTTTTTCGAAAGACATGAACGAAAACAAAAATTTCAAATAGCATATAAATTATATAATTTATTTTTTTTAACGAACATCCAGTTTTCAGATCATATTTATTGACCTATATACTTTTTATTACGCTATGATCTTCACAAAATGTGAATTAACTTCTTGAATTTTAATAAAATTTTATTTCATTTTTATATTTAAAGATTACTATTTAATTTCTTTCTTACTATTTTACTATTTTTGAATTTTCTCCTTTTCTATTTTATTCTGTTATTTCAATATTTATTTATTTCGACTGAATTGACTTATGACCACATATGCACAATGTTATTTTTTCTTTTATTGGTTTATAATAGGTGCAGCTACAAAATATGTTAGGTTCGAAATTTGTCGCATATTTCCTCGATGAAATCCTTGACTGGCAGAAAAAATTACGTACCGCAGATGCCGTAATTAATGCATGGTTCGAGGTTCAACGAGCATGGGGTTATCTAGAAAGTATTTTTATTGGTTCCGAAGATATTAGGAGTCAACTTCCAGAAGAAACGAAGCGTTTTGAAAAAATTGACAGAGAATTTAAAGTACGTACTTTCGTCAAGTCTTTTTTATTCTTTTTGAAGATGAAAAGCTCTCACGTACAAGTTTTCATTTTTATTTTATTTTTGAATTGTAAACTCTCAAATTCGGTTTACCTTCCATATAAATATACTTAAAATTTATAATATACAAAATGTATATGTGTATATATATTTATAATTGTATGAGATATATATAATCATTTATTTATAGATAATTAAGTAAACATATATATATAAACCATTATTTTATTATGTTTATATTTAATAAATTATATAATATTTTTGTTATTTTACGTATGGCTTATTATAAATCATTAATCATTTATTTTAAAAGATTTTTTATTTTAGTATGCTAAATGATAATTTTTAATGGCTTCATAAAAAAAGAGAAAATGTCAATTTTAACAAATTTTAAGTTAAACATTTTTTTACATGCTCCATATGTTGCGTTCTCTTCGTGGATCCTTTATTTTTTTAGTAAATAAAATCATATAAAATAAATAATTTGTTTTAATCATGTGTAATAATTTTTAAGGAACTACTAAGGGAAATGTTGAGCAATTTGAATATCATAAAAGCAACCTACCGGCCTAAACTTTTAGAAAAACTTGAAGAACTGCAAATTCAATTAAATGTTTGCGAGAAAGCTTTGGCAGATTACTTGGAAACAAAGAGATTAATTTATCCAAGATTTTATTTCATCTCCTCGGCAGATTTACTTGATATATTAAGCAACGGTTAGTACAATAATTATTAAACTACGAATTTTTATGCATTTATGAAATATTTGGAGATGCAAAAAATGTATGTAATAATATGTAAAAATATACAGGATGTTTTATTTTTGTTCCAAAAAACGGTGTCAGTATATTCTATGATTAGAAATTTAAAAAAAAAAAAGTTATATAAACATAGAATCGTAAATGCTTTGTTACGAAATTATATTACAAAGTAAAATATTTAAACAAAACAAATTTATGTTTGAATTCCAGTTACGTTTGTAGAAATATAAAAATGCATAAAAACCCGCAGTCTAGTAATTAGTATATTAGTTTAAAATATAGAACAACGTTTTTAATATAATTAAATTTTGTTTAAATGAAGAACTTTTGTAACTATTGAATACATTATTTCTCAAGGAAACAATCCCGAATTGGTCTGCAGACATTTGTCAAAGCTGTACGATTCTATTGCAAAATTAAAATGGAAAATGGATGGCGATAAACCGACAAAACTTGCCATAATTATGATTGCCAAAGACGGTGAAAACATGAATATTTATGGCACTTGTGATTGTAGTGGAAAGGTATTTACTCATAGTAAATACAAAAATATAATTTTTGCACTTTATACTTGGAAATTATTTAATTCTTTTACACATCTTCTTCTTTGTCTTTTTTTTTTCGTTTGACTTGTAACACTCTCTGTGTTTTTTTTTTTTCTGCCTTTTGCTTTTTATTTCTATCCTGTTTATTATTTTTTAATTCTCTCTTTTATGTCATATGTAAACACGAATCAAATCCACTCAAGAATTATTTTTGTAATGCTCGATGAGTGAAATTTTATGTTTTTATATATAAATTATATAATTAATATTGTATAAAATTTCGTATGGTTACCTCAATGATCGAAAACGCATGAGTGAAAAAATGGCTAGAACACGTTGTGACTTTGGAGAAAATTTTATATTTTTGAGAGTACAATAAAAAAAATAGATCTTCGATAGAAAATTATTTTATCACATAAAATATAGAAAATACTGTGGATATTTGGTATATTTTTTCATATTATGTGCATTGTACGCAATTTGACACTTTAAAATTCCCTACAATTACATAAAAATCCATAATCTATTAATTATAATTAATTATATCATATTGACAGACGAATTGTTTTTTTTTATCTTTCTTTATTTCTAAAGGAATTAAATGAACATATATGCAAATTTTTAAAGCATTGCAATTTTATTAAATTAAGATCATTATAAAATTTTTAGAAATTATTTATTTTCATGTCTAATATTTCTCACGAAATATGATATTTTATAATACATTCAACTTAATAGAATTGACATAATATACATACCTCATTTCGCTTCTTTTTTTCTTTGAATTGCACGTTTTGCAAGACTTTTGAGGTTTTTTCTTTCCTTTTTCAACAATTTCTTCGAAGAATATATTTCATGTTTCCAACTAATGCAAATAATTAAAATATATACAAAAACATAAATCTACATGTCCCATCCTTTAAATTTTAAGTTAAGCTAAATTATAATATTAAATTATATCATATATCATATTATATACATTAACTAAATTGAAGTATTAATAATATTATATAATATAAAGAATATTTAGTCAAACATTTCATTCATTTTATTATCTCTTTAGGTGGAAGTTTGGTTGAATCATGTAACCGATGCAATGAAAAGATCGGTAAGATACCATATATCTCAGGCGGTAACTACATACGACGAAAAGCCACGAGAACAATGGATTTTCGATCATCAAGCTCAGCCCGCGCTATGCGGAACTCAGATTTGGTGGACTACAGAAGTAAACATGGCCTTTTTGAGATTGGAGGAAGGCTTCGAGAACGCGTTCAAAGATTATCAGCGAAAGCAAATTAATCAGTTGAACGCGTTAATAATGCTTCTCTGCGGCGAATTAAATGAAAGCGACAGAAGAAAGATTATGACAATTTGCACGATCGACGTGCACGCAAGAGATGTCGTAGCGAAAATGATCGCGATGAAGGCAGACCATTTTTCCAGTTTTCAGTGGCAATCGCAACTTAGACACAGGTAAAAATGATTGATTTAATTGTATAAGTAAAACAATTTAACACGTTATACAATTGATTGACAAGTGATTTAATCGTATAAGTGAAACAATTTATATACCATGAACTATGTATTTACCTCCTTAACCACGTAAAACGAAATATTATGTCATATTACAAATTATCACTTTATTACATATGACATATACATAGTCAAATACATAGTTCGTCACAGTAACTATGAACATGATATATTCCACGTCACCACGAAGTGTACTATAAGTGTGACGACATATGAAAAATCCACGGAAAGAAGGGGAAATATCAAATTTTAGCATTTCTTAGAAAACGAAATTTTTTTTGTATCTCCTACTATTTTTGAGATATAATCTGTTACAATCAGCGAGAATCACCCTATACAGCCGTAAATTTTTCTTCTCAAGTAGAATATATTTAAAGGTAAAATGTTTTATCGTCTCGACCCATCAATTACAAAACTTTTCACTTCGAATGATCAAACATTTCATTCAACAGATGGGACGACAAAGTTGGTGATTGTTTCGCTGACATTTGCGATGCATTCTTCAAATACAATTACGAATATTTGGGGAATGTTCCTCGATTGGTAATAACACCATTGACCGATAGATGTTACATCACTTTAACGCAATCGTTACATCTTATAATGGGTGGAGCACCCGCTGGTCCAGCTGGAACTGGAAAAACAGAAACCACGAAAGATTTAGGAAGAGCTTTGGGCCAAATGGTTTATGTGTTTAATTGTTCCGAGCAAATGGATTACAAGGTAAAATTATAATTGTTTGATAAATAAATTTTCTTTGATGCTAAAATTGAATCAATGAATTGAAGAATAAGTACATATCCGAACGTTACATTTTGAGACATTTAATTTTTTTGCATCGTCAACATCATTTCTTTTTATAATAAATTTATATGCACCAATTTAAATGCATTCGTGCTAGTTTAGATGAGCATACAGTTCATTCGTTGTTTAGTTTGTTTATAATTAACATTAGAACAAATACAAAAAAAGCAAATTATAAATAAAGTAGTATTAAGAATCATTGGAATTTTAACGTTATTTTTTACAAATATTTCACGATGAGTTAAATACAACGATAAGAAAATTTGATTTTGGAAGGCCAAGATTAATTTTATAAGAATTTTTTTTAACCGAGTCGAAAATGTAGAATCACGCTATAGTGATTGTGATATAATTTTGATACATCCTGTACGTACATTCTACATACAATTCAATGTACATTCATACAATTATTATAATCTAAATGACAATAATTAAAATGAATAGATTTATACAATCGTATTTCTGTCTAAACAGAAATCAATATTAATTTTGACAAAAATATCTGTATCTTTTAAGCAATTGTAAAAGAAGAAAATCTGAAATTTATATTGTTCATACTTTTATTTGAGAAAATATGCAAAATTTTTTGAAACATGCAGGATGAAATGCATAAATTAACTACTATGAATAAATAAAAATCACTTAATAATTTAAAATAATCTAAAATATACGCATATTTTATGAAAGAATATTATACATATACAAAAAATTTAACGTTTTCTTTATTTTTGTTATTTTGGGAATTTCAAAAAGTAATAGATAATTTTTTTGTCAGAAAAATATTTGTTCTAATTCAATTTAAACAAACAATATATTTATTGTAAATATAACAATTAAGCAGATATTTACTATAACCTTCTTGATTTCATTACTTGCTTTCTTGGTCTATGTAGAATACAATCAAAGTGATTTCTTCTGTCTTACATGCAACTGTGATTTAATACATGCAATTTGATAATTAAGGGCAGTGATGGTAAATTCTTATGACCATTACGATCTCCAGATTTAATGTCGGCAGATTACTTTCTATGCAACACAATAGAAAACAATATAATATAAGTAACGATATATATTATAATATTGCGTATCTTGTAAATACAGGTATTAGATAATTTATGTCTAAAATTATATTATTAAAATTATTTTATATACATACAAAAAACACTATTATACATATAGTTAAAGGCATATTTGATACTAGACTATATTGTGGAAATTCTTCAAATTTTTGACATTAAATATAGTATTATAATTAACTAGGAGCTATTTATATTTAGTAGTTTTAAGACTGAAATATAAACTGAAATATATTTTACTTAAACAAATAAAAATGATATTGAAAATTCAGAACTATATATGATCTGTATCAATAAAGTAGGGGTGTGCGGGTACCCGAAATTATGGGTACCCGACAAAGTCGGGCGGGCTCTGGCGGGTAGCCCGATGATTTAGGGTAGTCCGTCTATTTCGGATCGAGTTAGAAAAAGTTCAAATGGGATATGATAGGGATTATATTGCGTTATCGAAATCAATTATTCATAATATTTCATAATATTATGTTATATTTATTCATAATATACATATATTTTTTTTCTTCAAATGTAATAATATTTACTCTAAATGATAATGTAAAAAACATAATTGCTCAACATTTTGTGATATTAATTTCGCTCGAGTTGGTATTATTATATTTCCGGATAAGGAAAATAGTCTTTCACTCGTAGTTAGAATAAATATTGTTACATTTGAAGAAAAAAAATATATATATGTTTATTAAATATTATCAATAATTGACTTCGATAACGCAATATAATTCCTATCCTATCCAGAGTTAGGCATATTTTATTCGAACGAATAACGAATAAAATACTGTTAAATTTATTCGTTGCTTACGAATAACGATTTTATTCGAGAAAAAATTATTCCTTGCTTACTGTAGCGGCCTAGAGTTCCTCGAGTATGAGGTTCGAACACCAACTTGTACAAGCTGCAAGTGGCTATGCGCCTAGCGTCGAAGTCTAGCAATATTCGATGTTAAGCAGAGTGCGGAACACCGCTCTAGGATGGGGTGCCGCGGACCGTGTCCAGCCTAGCGAGTAGTTTTGTTATTATATAACAACAAGCGTCTGGGGTAAGAGGTCACTACCGTCAGCCCCACTGATGAGAGTCTAGGCAGCGACTTCTGAGACGAAACGCCATAACCTTTCCTCACCTTACTTCGCAGTTACCACTTTCCTACCTACATTATCCTTGCATCATTATAAACACTTACAAACCCTTCACTTACGAATAACGATTTTATTAGAGGAAAAATTATTCGTTGATATAATTTTAATTATATATAATTATAATAATTATAATTCAGTAATTAATTATAATTATTTTTAATTTATTAAATAAACCAAAATTGTGAAGAAAGAATTCCTGATTCTTTTTCTTTACATTATTTCAGTAAATATTTTGAATAAAATTTTATTCGAAATGTTATTCAAATAATGCCCATCTCTGATCCTATTCCCCTTGAACTTTTTCCAACTCGATTCGAAATCATTGGGCTACCCGAAATCTTCGGGCTGTCAGCTCGAGCCCGCCAGACTTTGTGTGAGCCCGACCCGAACCCGAAATTTCGGGTACCCGCACATCCCTATTATATTATAATAAGCTATGTTATAATATATATTAAATTATATATAATAATTCACTTCTTCTTCGGTATTATGCTTTTTTTCTATAAACGTTACTTGGATATGACATAAATAAATATTGTTTACAATTATCATTTAATTAAAACTATCATTTAATAGTAGAAATAACGATATTGTAAATATTTAATAAAAATATTGTGATACAATAGATATTATTTCAATTTTACTCAAATTTACGATATTTTACATTATTGAAATATTTATTTTACTATCGATATTGAAATATAAATTATTTTAATATATAAAAAATTTTGTTTACATTCATACATCATTTAATAATTTAGTAATATAAAAATACACATATTGGAATTTTTTTAATAAAAAGGAAGCTTTGGAACAAAAAGTTATTTCTTTTTTCTTTCATACCTATTTTTGAAGCATATTATGTACAATAAAATAATATATAGAATAAAACAGTAAATAGACAGATCTTAGATAAATGTAATGCTGTGTATCACTTTTCTAAAGAAAATAAATTTCTACAAGGAAAAATTTCAATCTTCAAATCCAATGTAATTTAGTCATGAAAAAAAAATTTTTCAATATTTTTACATACTATTGACAATTTATTTCATTTTTGAGAAGAAAGATATCTTCATTTTGTTATCTACTACCTAGTGCAAGAACATCTTATAATAAAATGAATGAGTAAAGATTTCAAGCTTTAAACTTGGCTCATATTTATTGCATTTTTTTACAAAATTATAATAGTTTAAATGCTTAGTGTCCGAATATTTATAGGAATCACTATTACATATAGTCAATTTTTTGACAAATCTTAAATAAAAATATGTTTTTTCAAATACTGAAACTTAAATAGTATTATTATTTCTTTTTCAGTCTTGTGGAAACATTTACAAAGGTCTTGCTCAAGTAGGAGCATGGGGTTGTTTCGATGAATTCAACCGTATTTCAGTGGAAGTGCTTTCAGTAGTGGCTGTACAAGTGAAATCAGTTTTAGATGGGGTAAAAACCCGTAAACCGATATTTTTGTTCTTTGGAGAAGAACTTAATCTCGTTCCTACCGTTGGAATGTTTATCACTATGAATCCTGGTTATGCCGGAAGAACAGAATTACCTGAAAATCTAAAAACTTTGTTCAGGTATGTCAAATTATTTATCTGAGATCACGATCATATATTTTACTAGTATACATTCGATAAATTTAAAATATTAACCCTTTGAGTCATCTGGAAAAATATTTTTTCGTCAGCGAAATTTTTTATTTTTTGAATGTGGAAACAGAATTTATAATTAGGAATTTTTTAATTTTTTAATTTTTAAATCAATCTTTCTGCTGGATTCTCACGCAAGTGCTACCGAGTTAAAAATGTTAAGCATCAGTGAAAGAGCCCATTTTTAATTACATTTACATTTACGTCATTTTGAACGTTTATTTAACGTTTTTTAACGTTATCTCCAAGTACAATGTCAAATTATTCTTTTTCTGTTTATAATATGTATAATATGTATATGTATATGTAATATCGGGTGAGCTATAAGTCATCATACAAATAAGATTAGGGAGATGTGGCACGAAACAAGACGAAAATCAAGAATGATGAAATTGTGTTGAAGACTTCGTTCTTGAAAAAAATATTCAAGATTTCTCATTTGTCGTATCGAACCAATACAATGATTGACAGTATAGATTTCATAGACTATCTTACTATCGCTGATTTTACATTCGATATTCTACTTGTCAAAGAATTGAAAAAAATAAAAACAGAGTACACTGCAGCAAGCGGTAGATCATAATTTAATTTAATTTAATTTAAAGCATAACTTAATTTTAATTTAATTTTCATATAAAAACTTTACATACAACAGAATGATTAACGTTTAAATCAACATTATAATTAAAGATTGCAGATTAAGCTAGTAAATATAATATACATGTATATATTTAATATTTATAATAATGCACAAGATGTTTCACGTAGAACAGGCCACTTGAATATCTTCTTTCGTAATTTAAACTATTCGGTATATCGTTCTCAACGCAATTTAAACTATTTCATAAGACGAATCAGATGGCAGAACTACTTTTTAAAAAATATCATTTTTTTATGTCTTTTTAAAAGTTTTTTTTATTTTTTGTATGTATATACACATAATTTTCTCTGTTGTACATATAGCTAACATTATTGTATATTCATTTGTGAAAAATATTGTAATCTGTATATGACAATATATATATATATTATAATAATGCATATTTATATCAATTTTAGTCGTTGTACATTACATGTTTATTGAAGAAAATTTTTGTTTCCTGTTCAGAATTCATTCATTTCTTTTCTTATTATTTTTATTTGTCACGTCTTTTGGGGAATTCTTTTGTAAAAAAATTGTGTATTAAAGTGAAGTTATATGGAGGCTTTGTAGGGATTACATGTTTTGATACTGAGCGAGATATTGCTTCATTTGATTAAATTTTCATTTTTTTATTTAGATTTAATAATCCATACATTGTATGGATTACTCTTCAATTCATTAATTGAGTTCCACACACTAGAGTGGACAATTTATAGTATTTTTGAGAACAAAATTGTCTTTACTTTGTCATTTACTACATAATGTAAAAACTTCTTAGAATAAAATGAATGACGCATTTTAAAAATAGAGACTCCAAGCTTTAAAATGATTTCAAGTTTATTATTGTACAATTTCTTTTTATAAAATTATAACAGTTTCAGTATTTAATATCTGAATATTAATGAGAATCGCTTACGTTATATAAATTATGTTAAAAATAGTACTCATTAGCCAATGTTTATTTTCAACAGTATTATTAATTAATTGTTTAACTTATCCTTCGTACATTGTAAAAGATGAATACAATCAAATTTCAATAACTAGAAAAATTTCTTCATTTCTTTCCACTCTGCTATAAAAACGTCTATAATAGGAAAAATTATAATTTGAATATTTATCTCTTGTTTAATATTTTACACCTAGAATTTGAATTCAAAAGAAGCCCGATTTCTACAAGTTGAAATTTACTCGTTTTAATTTATAATTGTAATTATCTTCATAACTATTCGTTATTCGAAAAATATTTTAAATATATTTATTATAATTATATTTTAAATATAATTTGTTCTGTTATAATATTCAAATATAATTTATTTAGAGAAGCCGCTAGTTTGATATAGTTAATTTGTGTATTTTAACACATAGATAACACAAGATATGAAGATCAATTACTATTTCTTAAATGAAGTCGCGTAATTTTTAAATTACATTCATTTACTATTTTAAATTACTTTCATTCCCTATAAAATCTATTTATGTCGAAAAATTAATAGTTTAGAAAATATTTTAACTTCAATTTTATAAATTCTGTGCATAAAAGAAAAGAACGCTATGAATACAAGAATAATATTTATATTATACAAATACAATATTTAGCAGTTTAAATATTAACTACTTCCCAGAAATCGAAAATTTAGTGTCCAAATATTTGCGAGAGTATTCAATTGATCTTCAAATGCATTTTTCTCGAAAACGAAGTCTCCAACGCAATTTAGTCATTTTCAATTTTCATTTTATTTTATTTTTAAAATCCTCCTAACTCTATTTGCACCATGAATTGGGGCTCAACCGACATATAAATTCTTTTCTATTGTAAAAAGGATTATTATCGTTGTTTATTTTAAAGGCCTTGCGCCATGGTAGTTCCAGACTTTGACTTAATTTGCGAAATAATGCTGGTGGCAGAAGGCTTTCAAGAAGCTAGATTATTGGCAAGAAAATTCATAACACTGTATCAGCTTTGTCGAGAACTTCTATCGCAGCAGGACCACTATGATTGGGGTTTACGAGCAATTAAATCGGTTTTAGTGGTTGCTGGGAAATTAAAGAGAGGCGATCCTGAAAGAGCTGAGGATCAGGTCTTAATGAGAGCACTCAGAGATTTCAATATTCCGAAAATTGTGACGGATGATGTACCAGTTTTTATGGGACTTATTGGTAAACTTCTTGTGATCTTTAATTACTATCAAAAATTTGCAATGCACGTAATTAATATTAAACGCGAAACAAGAATCTTTCAAATTCTTTTTTTATTCCATTTTATTGATTTGTGACGTGTATTATATTACAATAATATTTATCTTAGTCTCATTTATATTTACTTCTTGTTTGTTACAGTAATATATTAAATTATTTTATACATTTAAAGTATTTTATTAAAGCACTTTGCATGTTTTAGAAAATTTAAATTAAAAACATATTCTGTGTGTCATATAAAATTTTCCGGAATTTCATAAATACTATAATGAAATATGAATATTATGAATAAATAGACTGCCGATTTTTATGTTAATTCATATTTTTTTGAATATAACTGAAAAAGTGGAACCTGTTTAAAGTGGAGATTTATTTCAAATATCAGATACTAAAAGGTACTATTTTTCATATTTTGTATAATTTTATGTACCATGTGTACATGTCTTCTATACATATTTTTTAAATTTTGTAAATGCATAAGAATCCGCCGTCTAATTATAAATGAATTTATGAAGTTTCTATTTATTCATAAAGTATACATGTACGTATATACTTTTTTCAAATTGCTTATACAAGATGGTACAATGTGGTATAAGGTGATTCTACGAGAAAAAATAAATCGAAAAAGAAGAATAAAATTTTTTTATTTGACGGTTTGTTTTTGAAAAAAAATTTCAAAGTTTCATCTAGCACTATACATTTAAGAAAAGCTTGACTTACCAATCTTATCTCATAGTAATCTAATATTGCTATCAATGTTTGTATTTATAAATATTTCCAATGTTATGCGTTGGAATTTTATTATTTTAAAAATATATATTATTGGAAATATTTCCCATCCTGTTCACAATGCACAGTTGTATTCTATTAATACTCATAACTTCTCATCTGAATGTACAATTGATTAGATATGATACCATAAATAAAAATACTAGATAAAAGTACTAGATAGAACTTTAGAATTCATTTTCTAACGTCGATTGAAAGGATTTTTTTTTTTCTTTAATTTATTTTTTTTTTCATAGAATCACCCTATACTCGATTATATCATCAGTTATGAATCACCCTGTAGATATTTTCTATACACATAGGATGTTTCACATAATATTCTGTACGATTTTGAAAACACATCAACGTTATGAAAAAAAATTGTAAATTTGTATACCAAGTATACTATGTATGATGACAATAAAAATTTTAAAAATGTTTTATTTTCACAGTAAACTGAAGGGTATCGTGACAGCGTTTCAAACAATCTCGATCAAATGTTCAAACACAATTTTTTAGCTTCTTGCGTTTTATACAATAAAAAAAAAATTATATGGTTCTATTTATGATCTATAGTAAAAATAAAACATTAAAAAAATTTTTTAAATTATATATATAGCACATTTGATAGAAGTAAATTTTGATTTACAATTTTTTTTCGTAACGTTGCTGCGAACTCCTCAAAAATCGTAAAGAATATTACGTGAAACATTCTGTAGATATATTTTTGTGCATTGATTTATACTTATAGGTGATTTATTTCCTGCTTTGGATGTTCCACGAAAAAGAGATCTTGATTTTGAGTCAACAATTCGTCAATCTACTTTGGATCTTAAATTACAACCAGAAGATGGTTTTATACTAAAAGTAAGAATGTTATTGATCAACATGACAATAATTGAGTCGTTTATTTACCAAATTGATTAATTGTTAATTTCAAATTTAATGCAATTTGAAATTTATAAAAATATTTAGGTTGTACAATTGGAAGAATTGCTTCATGTTCGTCATTCAGTTTTCATTATTGGCTATGCTGGAACTGGAAAAACTGAAGTTTGGAAAACGCTTAATCGAACGTACTTTAACCAGCAATTAAAACCATATTACAACGATTTAAATCCAAAAGCAGTGACTAACAATGAACTTTTTGGAGTTATTAATCCTGCAACACGAGAATGGACAGACGGGTTTGATTTTTATCTATTAACAATACCTATATTCTCTATATAATTTTATACGTAACTTATTCATAAATACTAAGATGATACTCCTATAATACTTTCAAACAAAATATTTACATATGTATACATATCAAATCAGATCATAATTCTTGAAGTTTTAATAATTTTTTCATGTACATAAATATTCTAGTACTCATAAACGGGCATATATCTTAAGTTATTCACCAAAAAAAAAAAAAAAACAAATTAATTGTCATCATTCAAGTTATTAATCTTTCGGATTTAGTAATTTCCTTATTTGAAAATTTATTGTTAACGTCTTGTTTCATTTTTATTCATTTCTATTAAAAATAAATTATATTATATTTACGATTGCATAAACTGAAATTTATCTTGTGGAAATTGAATTAAATTATTTCATAACTGTAAAAGTTTCTATGTAAAAATTAATGAACAGAGAATTACATTAATAGCGAAATTGTATATTTTTTTTCCGTTTTTCTAATATGGTGGAAGATATGCAACAATTATTAAAGTTATAATTAGATTGCGAATGTTTATGCATGTAAAATATGCAAAAAGCATGTGCAAAATATGCGAAAAATATCCATATGTGAACAATATAGAGAGTATTTTAGTTTTTACGGGAAAATGGCGTAATTTTGAAAAAGTTGTTGTATTAAACGAAAGCTCAATTTTCTAAAATATTTTAGCAGCATTTGGCTGGGAAATGCTGGAGCACTCCGTATGCGATATAGATTTACAAACAGATAATTATATGCAATACAAAATTTAACATTTTTAACAAATTAAGAATTTATTATTCATCCATAATTTCAATTTCAATCCATTATTCATCCATTATTTTTTAAATTTTCTATTTTCTCATTTATGTATGTATATATATATATATATAAACTTACATTATTAACTTGTACACTTGTACGTTAACTTAATATTTAATAAATAATAATTTCAATCAATCAGATTGTTCTCCGTGATAATGAGAGATCAGGCAAACATGACGGGAAACGATCCAAAATGGATCATTTTTGACGGTGACATAGATCCGATGTGGATTGAGTCGTTGAATACTGTAATGGATGACAACAAAGTATTAACTCTGGCTAGTAACGAAAGAATCGCTTTAACGGCACATATGAGACTTCTCTTCGAGATTTCAAATCTTAGGTAATAATTTTTTATCATTTGTAACTTTTTTATTTAACAATTACAATTATTATTGCAATAATTGTTTATATAACATAACACATCTTTTGTAAAAAAGTTATATACAGTGTGTCGAGTACCCAAGCACGAGATGATTTTTCATGAAAAGATAACTCGAAAATGTAAAATAAATGTGGGGCTTCGTTCTCGAAAAAATGAACTCAATATAATTTGTTGATACAAATTTATCGCATTAATTTTAGATTTTAATCTTGAAATAGTACCGTAGAGTCAATGATATAGTAATTTACATTATATTACAAAAATTTGAAATATCTATTTTATTTTGTATTTTTTATTTTTATTTTTATATTATCATAAATCAATAAATTGTAAAATTAAATAATGTAATGTTAAATTTTTATGGCTTATAATGTCCGATAATATCACTTAACAATTAATTGAGAACAAACTTCTGTTTATGATAAGAGATTTCACACCTGGGATTAATATTTCTCAATGTAAAGCGTATCCAAGAAGAATTTTATCCTAACGTTGCAACATTGCAACTAGGGGTCAAAAGATGCACTGATAATTGAGATAAAATTTTTTGTGATAACGACTTATGCCAAGAAGATTTAGTATTCAGCTTATGATATTTTTATTGAATTAAAATTGTATTTTATAAATAATAATGATGTTGAAGAATTAAAATTAAATACTGTCCTTGTTTGCAATTAAAATACAAATAATATAGATATTACAAGGATTATAATAATTTAATTATTATAACAATTATTATAATTATTATAATTTAATTGAAAGAACAATATTAATTTTAAGAGCACTATTATAGTCGATATTGCAAAACAGTTTCTATATTAATGAACCCAACTTACATCCAGAAATATTAATTAGGAAAGAATAGGATAAAATTGGGTACCATTGTTTTTCTGAAATAAGAGCTTCGATATGTAATCGAACTGTGGTATGATATTCAGATGGATCCCACGACATTAATAAAATCATTCAATTCAAATACAAAATAATAGCATAGATCGATAGAAAGTCAAGAAATAGATAATAATATTAATCATATTTATAAATACAAACACAAATAAAAATAGGAATTTATGAGATAATCGAGTAAAAATTTAAAGTTAAAATACATGTGCCTCATAAATTTTTAAAACTGTTTTTCTCAAAAATAAAACTCCAAAATGCAAAATCTTTATTTCACAGTTTCAATTTATTTTTTCATAAGAATCATCTCTTGCTCAGTTGTACCAATTTTACCGAATATTCTATATTTGTAGATATCTGTTGAAATCTTTTGTTGATTGTCTCACATAAGTATTAATTGTCTTAGGTACTTCATTTATTTTAAATTTTTTGTTCCTGACGCATCTGTTGACATTAAACAATAATTAGATTGCAGAGCTTCGTGCAAAATTTACATATTTTTGAAAATAAATTGAAAAATATGACTTAGATAGAGATTAGTTTTATCTACTAAATATTTCATCTACTACATTTTATATATTATTTTATATATTATTATATTAAGCTATTAATGTGTAATTATTAAATTTTTAATAAATACATTTGTATAAAAATCTGCAGTATATATTCGACACTGTTTGTGTTGTTTGTTTATTATATTTATTTTATTTCTTTAGAACTTTTAATTTATAGTATATGTATAAATATTATTTATTGTGCAAGAATTAAGTAAGATTTGAAAATAAATTTTAGGACAGCGACGCCAGCTACTGTTTCTAGGGCAGGAATTCTTTATATAAATCCACAAGATATTGGATGGTATCCGTAAGTAAACATTTATTTTGGTTTTAATGTCTAAATTCTCCTATTAAAATTATAGCATTTTAAACAATAGTATATATTATAAAATTACATTATACAACAAACGAAATTCATAAAGACACTAAAAATTTATTGCTATGAAGAAACAATTATTCAAAAAACATAGTAATTAAAAGAAAATTGTGAAATAATTATACAATGATGTAACAAAGTTTTCATAGTAATATTTTCTTAAATTGTTATCAAAAACATAAACATTATAATATTAACAAATAAAATTATGATTTCCGTATTTAATAGTTTCAAATCTTCGATTTTTTAGACTATAAATGAATTTTGATGCAGTGTTATAGTATAAATTTCACTTCAACTGTTGCATTTTCAAACTCCTTTTGCGATTTCATTATATTTGTATATTATGATTTATTTACACATCAGTAGGATAAAAATCTCTTTAAAAGAGTATAAATATGTTAGAAGCATTTTCATAATTCGCACGAGCAGAATGATTGATATATTTTTTCGGTACTCTCATGTTCATTCTTCTTCTGCGTTTGGCAAGCGTTGCAAGAACACATAGTGTGATAATAATTTAAACATTAATTTGACATACTGTTTTTTATTTGACACTAATTTTAGCAAAGTGAGAGAATATAATATAAAAGAGAATATAATATAAAAATAACTATTATTATATAATTATATTATTGTTTATATTATATATAATATATTTATATTATATATAATTATTACATAATAATATAATTATGATTATATAATATAATATAATAATCCAATAATATTAATATTATTAATACAGCAAAAATCGTTTTTTAATAAATTTTTCATTATTCTTTCCTTTCTGTGAAAATATATGAAATATTTATTTCAATAACAACATTATTATTACAGAAGAAAAGTTTCAGTTGTTGATATGCTCACGCTTCTGAAATGTTTATAGTTTTCAAAATATAACTTTAATCTTATTTACATATATAATTAATTGAATAAATCATTGACACAAAATATTGAATTTGTAAAGGATACAAATTTTTTCATAAATTAGATATCTTCATTATAATTTTGAATTACTATTTGAAATCTAATGCGTATGTATATATATATAATGTTCTTATTATTTATAATGATATAAAACAAAGAGGTGGATATTAATTTGTTTCTTACTTTTCTTTTTTTATTTTTCACCTTTTTATCTCCTAATGGTGTCAAAATGATTCAATAATAAAAAATTAATAAAATGATAAATAAATAAATTTGCAGATTCTTTTATTAATATAGTAAATAGATCAAATTCTTATTAAGTTACTCACAAGCATTCAACATACTTATTCATTTTTATATCGTGATTTTACATATTTTATAAGAAAAATGTATCAAATTAGCGTACAAGTGATGAACAAGACATTAAGGAACAGAAAACTTACATTACGTCTCGTAATTACTCAATAATTTTTATTATTATTATTTTCGTAGATTTGCAATTAGCTGGATAGAAACAAGAGACCCAGCTGAAAGAGCAAACTTAACCATTCTATTCGATAAATATGTCCCATCCCTCATAGAAGTGACAAAATTTAAGTTTAAAAAAATTACACCATTGCCAGAAATTTGCCACGTGGAAATGCTTTGTAAATTACTAGATTACTTTCTAGTCAAAGAAAATGTGACACCGGATTGCCCAAAGGAATGGTATAAATGAAACAATATTTAAATTTATATATCTATAAATTGACATATACAGTAGAATATTTTAATGAATTCCTCTGTACTTTAATATTCGAATGTTCTATTGCCCAAATTCTGTTGTCCAAACAAAGTATTTATCAGTAATAAATACATACTTATTTTTATATTAAATTTTTTTATATGTACTTTATGATAATTTTCACAATTGGAAAAAGAACTACTGAAGTACAAGATACAAAATTTTACTAATAAGAAACAACACTGATAATAAAGCATGATAAATCAATATTTTGTTTATAAATGATAAAAATATGCTTTCTTGTGTTGAAATACTAAAAATATTAATAGAAGTAATAGTTTGAACAAAAAGAAAAAGAAATTTGAAGTACAAAAAAAGTACAAAAAGTTACTTATATTTAAAAAATTAGGTTATTTTATAACTAAAGGTGATATAAATTTTAAGTTCTGAAAAATCGAAATTTATTTTATTAATTTTATTAATTCTTAAATATCAAAGTAAGTAAAATTGTTTTAATCTTCATTTGGACACAAATATTATTATTTGTTATTCTATTATTTGAAAATCCCATTAACCAAACATTTTTGTCTACCTATAATAATTCAGACTCTGCTAGCATAATTATTTACATATTTGCAAATGTTTTCATATCATTTTTTACGAACAGGTATGAATTATACTTTGCGTTCGCTTGTATTTGGGCATTTGGATCAGCGACTTTTCAAGATCAATTGATCGATTGGCGAAATGAGTTTAATAAGTGGTGGCAAAACGAATTTAAAACTATTAAGTTTCCTGCTGGTAGCAATGTATTTAATTTCTTCATCGAAAATGAAACAAGAAAATTAGTTCCATGGAGTGAGAAAATACGGCCCTTTGAACTAGATTCTGATATACCTCTTCAAGTTCGTTTAATTAATTTTTTCACTTAAAAATGACACTAAGCTTTAAGCAGTTATAAATCTTCAGAATCTTCAAGTCTTTGCAAGAAATTATTTTAAATTTATACTTTTAAAAAACTGAGTGTACAAATATTTTTTTGCAATGTAGTTATGTTGAATTTGTTGTAAGTGTTGAACAAAAAAGTTTCATTTAACGTTTCACTTATTTTTACATGTATAATCATTTCTTAATTGATAATACCAGACTGTGCAAGCAAGATTATTTTATCCACTTTCTCTACAAAATTTTTGATATTTTCTTTTTCAAACATCATATTCATTATCATCATTGTATAGGTACTTGTACATACCAATCATATTCAGTATCAATTATTGTATAGGTACTTTTGTTACAATTTTTAGTTTAGTATTTAAATATAATAAATGATTTCTATTTTGTATATAAAATATTTTATATTTTGTGGACTTTCTGCAGAACTATTAAACTTTCATAAACGATTTCGTTTCGTAGTCTACTTTGGTGTCAACTGGAGAAACTGCACGTCTACACTTTTTCCTGGATGTTTTCATACAACAACGTGTACCAGTAATGTTGATAGGTGCAGCAGGATCAGGAAAAAGCGTAATCATTGCCGAAAAGCTTTCATCCCTTCCCGACACTTATAATATTGCCAATGTGCCTCTTAATTATTATACTACCTCTGGTAATAAAATTTTAATTATTCTTACTGATGTGTGACGATTATAATTATATATTTTGAATGAACTATATTATTACCAATAGTCAATTGACTCATTCAATTCAAATCTCAGACTAATCTTCAATTCTTTTCTCAAGAAAATCTCTATAAATTAAGAGTAACTGTACATATATTTATTGAGACAAATATTTTATCTATGTAGCGTTTCGTACACAAAAAGTAAATTCAAAATGCAAATCATATTTTTATTCAATATAAAGAAATACAATTGTAAAGTAAATATTTCTATTTATGTATGTATTTATTGTATTGTAGAATAGTGAATGTACACAATGAGACAATAACTTATATACGTGCGTAATACTATAAATTTTATTATTTTAAATTGTTGAAAATATTTCTTATTCTAATGAATGTGTTAAATATAATAAATATAAAATAAATATAAAACAATTCTATTCTTTGTATTAAATCTTTATTTTTTTTTATTATCTTTCATCGTAAAATATAGTAAAATTCATAATAAAATTTTAATAATTTATAATAATTAAATAATTTATAATAGAATAATAGAAACACTATAATAGAATTTTAATATAATAAATATATAGCATAATAAAGCTTCAAGCATGTTGATAATTAAATCAAATTAATAATGTATACCAAATTAATGCAGTATTAATTTTATTATTATGTCTTATTCCTTTTAATTTTCAGATTATTACAAGTTCCTTTTTCAAAACTATAATTTTCTATTTGTTCTTCTTTTATCACATAACATAAGTTTAATTATATATTTAACACGACATAAATTATTACATAATAACAAAATTACATATTTAAGAAATGCTGCAAAGGATCATGGAAAAACATTTGGAGAAAAAAACTGGTAGAAATTATGGGCCACCCGGTATGAAAAAATTAATTTATTTTATTGATGATATGAATATGCCTGAAGTTGATACCTATGGAACTGTTCAACCCCATACACTTATTAGACAACATATTGACTACAATCACTGGTATATAAATATTTTAAATACTTAAATTGAAAGTACAATTTTTGATAAATTTCTAGTTTAACTGCTTTTCTCAATTTTGGTTATTTCGCTATACTCTCCTCTCTTTCTTTTCGATTTTCTTTATATCATGTTCTTTCGATCTTCCATATTATGAATATAAGATCTAACATTTCTTTTTATCTATGTATTATTTAAAAATACAGAATATTATAAGCCAAAATTCGGAATTACTGTTAAACTAGAAATTCATTCAATTCTTTTTTGTTTCTATTAGCAAAATGTTATTTTGAATTATGGCAAATTTAATTATACTAGAGATTCCATTTACTTAAATTATACTAAAATGAATTTTTTTAATTGTATTAGAATAAATTTTTGATGATTGGTCGATTACTCTTCTTCTAGAAATCGTTTCTTTCAGCGTGAAGGATTATTTGAACAAGAAATTATCGTTTGTAGAGAAAGTCAATATTGCATAAACTCTAGTTTTGTGCAACTCAGATAAATGGAATTCTGCTCTAATAAATCTTTGAAGTAATTACTATTTCTTACAAAAGGAATGTTTCTATTGTTCCTTATTTTTATCCGTAAATTTTGAAATAGACAGAATAGCAAATTACTTTCAAGGTGTTGCAATTTAATAAGATTAATGATTTTATCGTAGAAAAACAAAACTTTCTTTAAACAAATGAAGGAACATATTTCGTTTATTGCAGATTTCTTCTAAAGTTCTTAATAATTATTCACAATTATTTCTGCCTATTAAAAACAAAATTGTTTCGTAATAATATTAGTTGGTTCGAAACAACAAATACTAGGATTCATGATTTTCTTCACTGCAGATCATTTCTTCGAGTTTCAATGTGCAATTTTTTTAAATTAGATCAGATTTTTCTTTTAATTCAATTAATGCATCTTTTCAATTATTTACGGAAGTTGCTAACTTGTACTACTGTTATTAATATATTTTAATTTTAATTTTATAAAACTTATTGCATAGAAGATAAGAAAAAGATGCAAAGTAATTCTTTTATCTGTTCTCTTATTGTTTAACGCAATGGGTTTTAATACAAAATTAAAATATTATTTAAAGTAATTATTTTCGAACACACATACTTTTATAAAGAATTATAAAACATATTAAATCAATTATAAAACGTATGAAAAATTGTCAATTCAGTTTTTGAATTAATTGTTAATTTAAAAAGTTCAAATTGTTAATTTATTTTTTGTTAATTTTGTTAATTTATTTTTTGTTAATTTTGTTAATTTATTAATTGTTAATTTTGTTAATTTATTAATTGTTAATTTAAAAAGTTCAAATTGTTAATTTATTTTTTAAAATTTGAAAGAAGTATTTTAATTATCTCATAAGAAAAAAGATCATGATTCGCCGTTTTAAATTTACAATAAGGATTTAAATTAAGATATTAACATATTCAAGATAAATGAAATACTTTAGATTGTTTCATTCACTTAAAATATTAAGAAGACCAATTAATTAAAATCCATTATTATTTTTCAAAATTTGCTATTTTATTATTGACTTTTTTATATTTTTTATGTTATTGATTTCTTAAATTTTAATTTTAAGGCAAATTAGCATAATTTTGAGTAATACAGAATTATTTAACTTAGGTACGATAGAACGAAATTAACATTGAAAGAAATTCAGAATACACAATATATATCATGTATGAATCCAACTGCTGGAAGTTTCACAATTAATCCCCGATTACAAAGACATTTCGCTGTTTTTGCAGTCAGGTAAGCTAAAATAAAGTTAATCTAAGTAATATATATACAATTGCTTCAATTCACAAAATAGTATTTTTATTTACAAAAAAATGAAGAATATACTAGAATTGTATTTCAGATATTAGGTTGATGTATTTATATGAAATGTATAGTTTCTCCAGATGAAATTTTAATAACACGTAATTTAAGATATTATCATGATCTATAATCTACATTAATAATGATTTTTTTCAGCGATTGATTAGTTTTATTATTCTAAATTTATCTATTATTTATTAATTAATGATTGTTAATTAATTTTAACAAGTATTAATCTGTCGAATTCAAACCTCAAATAAACGACATTTCACCAACCTAATAATTAATATTATTATTTGGTCATTAATTGATTATAAAAATGATTAGAAATAAATAAATTACCGTCCAACTGTGATTTTAGATAAGCAAATCACTAATTATATATTTATAATATATATAAATCTTATATATTAGAAATGTATAATGATATTAGAAGATCTACATTTACTGACAAAAATTAGGAAACAGCATATTCCTCAAAAAACTGTTGTTTATTCTTTAATTTCAGAAATACATAAATTGGAAATACAAATGTGAAGAGGTAATATATTAATAGAATATAAATATTTTTTGGATTTATTTTTATACAAGTTACAATTAATATTGAAACAAAAAATCAATGAAAATCCTTATGATAAAAGTGAAAAACATATCACATATCGTGCTTGATAATTATTTTTAATAAAAACAGCAGCGTATAAATCCTTATAATTTTTGTGGAATTCTAATGCAATGTTGGAAAATACTTCGATTTTTTATAAATGATTCGATTAATTTAAAACAAAACTTAGACCATATTCTTCTCATTTCTTTTTTTTGCATTAATTCTACTTTATTAATAAAAGAATAAATTCTCAATTGGCGTTTGATGTAATTTTATAAATTTTCGTTGGATTTAAATCCAGAAATTGAGTTGATTCTTCAATTATGTTAATATTTTATATCATGAAAAGTATTTTATTTCGTACTTTGGAAGAATACTTTTAAAATCGTTGGAATAACCATTCTATTAATATTCTTTCTTGAATAAATAGTAAAATAAATAGTAATTAATTTTTTTTTTATAACAAAATATCACAATAAATATTGCCAGAGATTTCCATAATTTCTTTTCATTTATATTACGAATTAAAACTAATTTAGTATTCTATTTATTGTATTGTTATAAATATTATCACTGCAATTATGTAACTAACAAATTACATTTGTTATACAGGTATTTTCCTTACACTTCAACATACACAAATACATGATTATTCATGTATAAAAAAGTTATAACTGGACTGTTTCTTAATTTTTGTAAATAAGCCTATATATTTGACACACATAATGTGCATCCAATCTAACTAATGTGCAACCTTAGGCCAATACTATAGGTAATTTATAATAAAAAAAGTTTCCCTATTCACTAAAAATTTATTTTCATTGATTTTCACAGTTTTCCAACCGAAGACAATTTAGTATTGATCTACAGTCAAATGCTGGAACAACATCTAACAAATCCTGTTAACAAATTTAACTTAGCGCTGATGAAAATTTCAGAATCATTATTAAACACAGCATTGTATTGTCACAAAAAAATTTCATCGACATTCTTACCAACAGCAATCAAATTTCACTATGTGTTCAATCTACGCGATCTTTCAAATATCTTTCAGGTAAGATTTATTTAAGTAAAAGAAGTTTAATTAGAAACATATAAATTTTTGTTACAATTTAATTTTTAAAAGTTCAGTAGAACATCGATTCTCCGAAATCGATTGTTCAAATTTCAATTGTTTAAATGATTGATTATTCAAAACCAACTACAAGATAAATTTAATTATGTAAATAAATTATTTAAATTACATATCTAACAATGTTTAAATTTTGAAAATATTTTTCCTGTTTTAAATGCCGCATTTCAGTGACTCACCTCAAGTTTAATATATATTTATATATACTATTTACTTATTTTATGAATGTAAAAAGAAAGAAAAAGATAAATTATATATTATTGAAAGTGTAAAAGAGGATGAAAGTATATTTAAAAAAAATCTATAATTAGCGGTGTCAACATTTGTTGTGAATTTTTCACGAAATCGTTTCCGTTCAATTACTCAAGGTTCCTGAATTGAATGTAATTTCGAGTCTTAATAATAAACACAAATTATTGTCATCCATTCATGCTAATTGTCATTGAAATTTTCATTTCTTTGCCTTCAAGGTCATCCGAAGGTTATGGTATACTAGGTCGTTGAATTCATCTAGATACGAACTATAATACTATTAAGTCAAAAATATAGTGCCATTTAAAAAAAAAACGAAGGTGACCTTGACAATTATTGAAAAAAAAATTTTTGGAAATTTTTTTTGTTGCATTGTATAGCCAATCGAAAACAGATCAGCTTTTGTTTAGAACATTTTTTTTTGCCAGATTATCGCAAGTACTTGAAAAATCATGAAAAATCGTTACGTGAGACACTCTGTATAATGAAGCAAGTCAGAAAATTAGAGTAACATATTTCTGTAATTTAATAAATGTCAATAAGCATATTGATAATAAATCGATATTAAAAATTTGACGGCTATACTATACGTTATATTGTTTGATTATATTGCAAACTAGTTTTTGTTATATTTATGATAATATCTATCATATTTATTGAAATAAAAATACTTTCTTATTTTAGTTTTTATTTGAAATATATGTATATATGGAGTTCTATTCTTCGTTCAAGGGCATAATTTTTGCAAATGGTGAGACTGTGCCAACTGCAAATCATTTGATCAAATTGTACATTCATGAAGCAACAAGGGTGTATTCTGATAAATTAATCAGTGCTGAAGATAAAAAAACCTTTCAGCAATTATTGAAGGAGTCGCTTCGCAAGAATATTGCTGTAAGTTTGTAAACTATAGTTGCCAATTATAAATTTAATAATCTCACTTATAAACACAGGAAATGGATGAGAATATTATATTTGCCGAACCAATGATATACTGTCATTTTGCGGAAGGAATCGGTGAACCAAAATACATGCCAATAAAAGATTGGCAACACTTAACAAAATTATTGAATGAAGCTTTGGTTAATTATAACGAACTGGTAATAATTTTATATATATTAAATACATTATTATACATAATACTTATATATTTTATTTATTTAAATATATTATTATATACATATATTAAATTCATTAATTATTATTATTATTATATAAGATATTTTTTAATAAAATAATTCTTAATATATTTAATTAAGAACTGGTTTAGTAAACATGTATTTTATTCATAAAATTTTTTAATTTAATTTTTTCAAAACGGTACATCTTAACAAAAATGTATTATATATCTATAGATGGATATATCTTTTCTCAAAACGAAAAATAAATATTTAGAATATATAAAGAAGAATTATATTCGAAAAACGATTGAATTTTTTAATCATTTTATCAATTGAAAAGAATATAACTAGATCGTTATCTATAATGAAACAATTTGTATATACGAAAGTATTTCAATATTCATTTACATTTTTACAATTAATAACTTTCTATTATATTTCTATATTACAATTATGTACAATATATAAATTTTTGCAATAAAATTGTTTTGTAAAATTAGTTATTATTTACTTTAGTTCGTGGGACCAAATAAATAAAATATTCATAATATATATAATTTTTTATTTGTAATAAAATATAATATAAAATATTATTAAAGATAATAATATTAAATATAATAATATTAAAGATGTGACTCAAATCTTATAACCTTGCATTAGCTAGATATACAGGATGTTTCGTAACTTGTCGGAGCTGATTATACGCCTAAAAATAATGACAAAAAGTCATATAAATATATGTCCTATTTAAAAATTGCCTAGCCACTCTGCTAAAATGCGGCGGTGCTCCATCATGCATAAACCGCATACCGCATTTTAAATCAACACTTTGCAAATAAATGGAGTGGTCGTAGAGATCCTATTGCATGGCCTGCTTGTTCTCCGGATTTGAATCCATTAGATTTTCATTTGTGGGGACATTTAAAATCTATTGTATACGTAACATCGATTGAAAATGCTGAAATACTACGAAATAGAATAAAGCAAGGCTTCCGACAAATTCGAGGAACACTAGGAATGATAGAGAGAATAACCAGATCAGTGATAAGACACGTGCAGGGTTGTCTTCAAATGCAAGGTCATTTCGAGCATCTTTTGCAAAAATAATTAAAACAGAAAATTCATTATACATCTCATAAACGAAGACAGATAGAACATATATTTATATGACTTTTTTTCATTATTTTTAGGCGTACAAGCAGCTCCGGAAGTGGGTCCCACAAGTTACGAAACATCCTGTATACTTACATTCAATCAAAATGAATTGATCAAATAAGTAAAAACTATTTTTGTTTTAATTCGAGCATTAAAAACTTCTATGTATGAATTTTCATCTTCGAATAGGTGGCGGCAATGAATCTGGTTTTATTCGAAGATGCTATGTATCAGATTTGTCAGATAAATCGTATTCTGGAGTCACCAAGAGGAAACGCGTTGCTTGTGGGGGTTGGAGGAAGCGGAAAGCAATCTCTTTCTAGCCTTGCATCATTTATTTCGGGTTTAGAGGTACTTTTGCAAAGATTATTTGCAAAATTCTAATTTTTTAATAAAGATATTACAGTAAATCTTTATATTTAAATATTTTCTTTACATACTAAGATATTTATTGTGAACAAATAGAAAGATGAACAAGATAAAAGGTAAACAAATTCATAAAATTATTAAATAAATAATTTATTATGAAAAAATATAGAAGGTTAATAAATTAATAAACTATTAAACAAATTAATAAAATTATTGAATAAACAATCCTTAATAAAAGAAATTAATTAAATTCTTCCGATAAAACTAATATGTTTAATATACAATAATTTCACATATTTAAATTTATGTTTAAATATAGATAGTGCACATATGGTGTATTAAATGTGTATGATTTATTATGATTAATAATATGTATACATACATACATACATCAATAATATGTATACGTATATATACTACGATTAATTATATATGCATTATTAAATATACATCATTAAATATAAATTTAAATATGAAGAATTATTGTATATTAAACATATTAGTATCTTTTACAATTTATTTTATTAGAGGATTTTAACGTTTTATTAACAATTGATTATTTAATAGTTTTTAGTTTATTAATTATTCTCTTCCTATAACTTTTTTATAATAAATAGACTCACATCAGATTTAATATTATAACATAATAAATAAATCTTCAGATAACGTAATGTGAATTTTACTGTAGAAAATAAACTTCTTTACTTTACTATTAATAATTCACAAACTTCTGCTATTAATTAATTAAAAAGAATCTATTTGTAAAGAAGCATTGCAAATGTCAAACATCAAATTTTTCAGCAGAAAAAAATGTTGTCCAAGTTTAAATTATTTACTACTGATGTTTTAACAGTATCGATAACTGATTATTTTATAAAAATAATACTTCTTGATAAAAATCAAGATTTTTCAAGTTTGGTACTTGCAGTGTTTCCTACAAATTATTTTTAATTATTATGAATTATGAAATAATATGAAATGTTATTCTCCAAAAACTTGAGATATTTTTCAAAGTGTAAAATATTATCCTCGTTTCTTTCTTCTTCTTCTTCTTCTTCTCTCTCTTTCTCTTTCATTATACGCCTGCTTTTCGTAACATCCATTAAGAAATCGCACTTATATTCTTCAAATTCTAAGTAAAAATAGGACAATATTATAGTAGGTCAACTACTATAATAAAAAATAATTTAAAAAATTGTAGATACAATAAACGATATAGTTTATGCCATCTTTCTTAGATTCTTAGTCAAAATGTAAATTCTTGATAATACTAGAGTAATATTCAACAAATCATTATAACAGATGCAATAAGGATGTAAATTTAAATTTTATGCAAATTTATATTTTTGAGAATGTAATTATATATTATATTAGAATTCAATTATAAAATATAATAGAATGTGATAGAATATTATAGAATATAATTACAAAAAAGAATAATACCTGGATAGGAAATTATTTTACATACCAAAAATTATAGATATTTTACATTATTTTTTCACATTATGTGCATGTTATGCAACGTTGAATTTTTAAATATTCTGTAAATATGCATAAAATCTTCTATTATTCTATTAGAGTCTATTCATTCCATTTTAATTGAATCGAAAATATTCTAAGTGACAGCAAGAAAGCAATATAGTGATATTATAGTGAAATTTTTGGTATTTAAAGAATCAATTTGCCGCGGCCTTATATATATATTTAGCTATAAACTTTTACTATGAAATTTTACTATGAAATTCTTTTTAATCGGATTAAAGTTAACGTATAGGCATAAAATGTAAGTAATACCTAAATAAAAATGAATCTATCCTTCATATTTCAGGTTTTTCAGATACAATTACGAACTGGTTATTCGATATATGATCTAAGAGCCGATTTATCCAATTTATATTTAAAATCTGGATTGAAAGGAATTGGGATTACTTTTGTGATGACTGATTCTCACGTTGCCGATGAAAAATTTTTAGTACTCATGAACGATATGCTTGCTTTCGGCGAAATTTCCGAATTATTCGCCGATGATGAAGTGGATAATATCGTTAATGCCTTAAGAAATGAAGTATGTTTCATTATTTATTTATTTATTTAAAATCACGTCGATTTAAATTTTTTAATATGTATAAATAATTTTTTACTTGCGACAAGAATAATTTTATTTCAGTCAGTTTTTCTATATGTACTCTACGTAAACTTTTATTTAATGTTGATATTCATTTAGTATAGATTTTTTCCTAAATAGACTTATTGCAAAAGAAACACTGTTATTAAACTACTTAAAAAGAAAATTATAGTTATTAATTAATGTTTCGAATCTTCGAACAAAATTTCTTTGTAATAGTATGCACTTATTTATCTAACAAATACGATTTTATATTTATATTCTTTATTTATAGTTCATTACGAATTCCACATTAATATATAGAAACACATATATATTTTCAGTATTAACTTTTACAAACATAAACACATATATATTTTCAGTATTAACTTTTACAAACATAAACACATATATATTTTCAATATTAACTTTTACAAAGATGAATATATCAAACTTGTCAAAAGTTTAACTGTTTTATGTGATTATTTAATAAAGAAAAGATAACAAATTACATAATATCACAATTATATAGTTACTTTACATAAAAATAAAAATATGACAATATCTTCAGATCTATCATCAAATATGAATAAAATAATTTATAAAGTAAAATTAATAAAATAAATATTAGGACAATATATAATTTTTAATTTTTAGTTTATTGCGTTTATTGCGTTTTGAAAATATTAAAGTATAAAAATTTGTATCTCAATTTAAATGATTTTGCGAATATCTACTGTAAATCATAAAAATTTTTTGTTCAGCGAAAACAGCGGAAAGAGAATTACCGATGTAACTTTTTTTGATTCGATAACTATCATCAGCAATGACAGTATGTCTGAATTACTGGTATTAAGTGATACAGATTGTTTTCAATTAACTATTGTTAACTATTGATAACTATTATTAATGATAATATTTTTTGATTGTCGATCTTTATTATCAACAACAAAAATTTTTTTGATTAGTTTCGATTCTTTTCGTTAATTTTTATTTATGTTATTATTATAATAGCTATATTTATAATAAACATTAATTACATAATAGAATAATTTATTTAAATATTTCACTTTACATTTATCTTTTTTTCAAAGTTGCTCTACCAATTTAAAAACATTTTGTAAATCATACAATTATATATTATTATAATAATAATATAATGCCATATAATATATTATAACAAATGTAGTATTTTATCTGAATTATATTTTATAATATTATCATATAATATTATAAAATTAATAATATATGATAATATATTATATAATATTTAATAGCAATTTAAAAATTTTTTGCAGATAGCAAGAATCATATTTTTCTTTCATTTTTATAGTATGTACCTTTATCATGGCATGATAAATCGACATTTATTCATTATATTGTAGGTAAGACAAACCGGTATGATGGATACTAAAGAAAATTGCTGGAAATTTTTCATTAATCGAGTTCGAAATCGATTAAAATGCATTCTTTGCTTTTCTCCCGTTGGCACAACTTTAAGAACCAGGGCTAGACAGTTTCCAGCAATTGTAAACAATACTTCGATCAACTGGTTTCAACCTTGGCCAGAGGATGCTTTGAGATCCGTTTCCACGAGGTTCTTGGAAGTAAGATTGTTTAGTATATTTTAGTAAAATTGTAATTTAACTTAACGAGATCACTTAATCTGTATGAATAAAAAGATGTATATTATATATTTATATTAGATGTATATTATATATTTATTATATTTTTATTAGGTTATATATTATATTGAAATGTTTATAAGATCAATTTATTAAGTATTTCACATAGTATGTGAAGACTTGCACGATTTTTGTCTCAAATTTTTACTGAATTTGAACATTGAACGAAAACGAATATAATAAATGTTACAATTTGTTATAATTTTCGTTACGTAAGTTCAGTATTCGTTTTATTAATTGTACTTAATTAACCGAAGAATATACGAGTACCACGAATTTAATTAATTTTAAATCAGTTCCACTTCCTTCATTATGTTCATATTGTTCATTTTAATCTCAGTAAAATCAGTTAGCTGCCTCGTTTTTATTCTTAGCGAACGAGTTCCGGCTAATTAACTGAAAACATGCAAATACGTATTCTGAATTGTACATACAGAGTGTGCAATATCTGAAATCATGGTTCGAGCAACAATCAATGAAGAATAATTCTATATAAAACAATAAATCAAGACAATTCTGTTTTTCAAAAATTGACTTTAGAAATTTTTCAAGCGTTCAAATAAAATTAACAAACGTGATGATATAATGCTGATTTTCTGTTCTAAAGAACTCAACATAAAGTTGATATAAAGAAATTAAAAAACTAGGAAGTACACATTATTATACACTAAAATTTCCAGATGTGAATTGTTCCTCCGTTTATTACTTTGTCAATGCACGGCATTCAAAAGCTAATCATTGATGCATATAACATTCAAAAACTAATCGTTTTAAGTAAATATCAATGTTGTTCAAATCTTTGCAGATAAATATGTTATTCATGTATTTCTTTTGTTAAAAAAAAAAATACAATATTAAAGACTAATAAGTAATTGATATCAATTGTGTAAAAAATGCTTTTGACAAATATTATCTGCCTTTCAATGATAACATTATTACTTCTTGGAATATATGAACGAATTCAAGCAAGTACACCGCTTTTTTTTTAATAATAATACGATTATTTTCAAATATATGCCTTTCATTTAAGACCTATTTAATCAAAAAACACCATCAAAATAATTCTAGATTTCAATTTTATGAGTTAATCAAGAAAAGGCTTTAAGAGGGATATATTACTTGAAGTATAAATAAAATTTAAAAGATTCCATATTTGATAGAATTCAGAAATTACGTAAAGTAAAAAATTTAAGTACTAGAAATTGAATATATAAAAAGTACATATTATGCTTTTTAATTCTTTTTATAACCGATTTTTTTATAAGACGATACCATAATTTCAGAGGCACCTTGTATAAGAAACCAGATAATGAAGTCGCTTCACTCGATTATTACGAATAAACTTAATTTATCTTCCTAACACTACTTCACTTTCTCTCTTATTAAATTCATTATGTTACTTACAAATTGCAGGAATTAGAAGATCTACCGAATGAATATAAACCGTCAGCTTCTCTGTTCATGTCGTACGTTCACACTAGCGTCGATGACATTTCCTCGCTTTATTTACAAAATGAAAGAAGATACAACTACACGACACCGAAGACGTTCTTGGAGCAAATTTCTTTGTACTCGAAGTTGCTCGTAGAAAGAACCTACGACGTAAAAGCAATGATAGAAAGATTGAAAAACGGTTTGGAGAAACTAGAATCTTGTGCTGTTCAAGTAATTATTATCAATATTAGAAAATGATTTTATTATCAATATTAGAAAAAAATCTCCGACTCGATGAATGATGAGTTTTCTCGTAATTTTATAGTTCATTATCTTTTTTTATTAAGTTTTTTATTACATGCAATTTTTTAACATTTCTATAACAACAACATCAGTTGTCTTAAATTTAATTTTCCAAAAAAAAAAAAAAACATTATTTGTAGGATAACTTAATAAATATAGTTGATTTAATAAATTCACAAACTATGAACGTTAACCGATAGGTCAGCGAACTAAGAGTTGTATTAGCAGCGCAAGAAATCGAATTGAAGAAGAAGAATGAAATAGCGGATAAAATTCTTGCGGAAGTTCGAGCAGAGAATACTAAAGCGGAAGCGGAGAAAGCTATCGGTTAAGCTTTACTTTTTCATGTTCAATTGTCTTAAATTTATTTTTATTTATTCTTTGATATTAATAATTACAGTTCGAATATTTATGCAATTTTGTATTTTATATATATGTGCTTTATTGTGCATATATATATTATATTATATATTATACATATACTGTATTTGTTAGATTGTTGATTTATAATTTTTCATTTGACTTATTTTTATTACTAATTTTTATCAGAAAAAATATAAATTTTTGTAACATAATATAAATTATTATAGTCGCCTAGACCATTTAAAGAATAAACATCATAAAAAGTACCCTGCTTTGGATTTTAATATATTTTATTATATGTTAATATAATATAGGTAATATTATAATAATATTTTATTATGTTCTATTTTACTTATTATATTATAATTATATTAATTACATCATAATATAATTATATTGTATTTTAATATATTTCTGCTTTTTTAATATATATCTGTATTCCATTCTTGTAATTTTAAATTTCTCAAATACATAAAAATTCATTAAGTCCAGTTCACTAATAACTATTTGATAAATTTACGTATTGATAGACATATTAGTGAACTTATCATTATATGTATAATATAACTAATATACAATCTTATGTCATAATATCCTAACATCATTGTAATTGTAATATTATTACATTCTTATAACTTTATTGTATTATAAAATAAAAAATATAAAAAATTAAGTAAAAAATTCTTGTACAGTGTCTGAAGAAGAGGCGAAGGTAGCAGAAATAAAGGAAGCAGTAGCAGAAAAACAAAGAAGATGCGATGAAGATTTAGCAAGAGCGGAGCCTGCAGTTCGACAAGCTGAAGCTGCTCTTGACACATTAAATAAAGTAAAACATTTGTTTAAAATACAAATTTAATTTTGACACTTACATTTATGATTTTCATAACTGCTCCAATGTTTTCATGATGTTTCAATATGACAAAACGAAATACTTAAATATGAACTAGTACAGAATTTATTAATAGATACACAACGATTAAATATTTGATAATATGTATTATATTTTTCCAGAGTTATTATAAAAAAAAGTGTTTCAATATTTTTATACATTATCTTTTGATTTTTTTATATAAATTATAAACTAAAAACATTCAGCGTATTTAGCGTAACATATGTCTACCCATTTGTTTTTGATGAGCAACCAAGAAAGACTAAGATAAAATTAATACTAATCCAAACTTAATTTTTGTTTTTTATTTATAATTTATTTTGTTTCGCTTTGTACGTTACAATAAAGTGACTAGAGGAAATATATACAAGATGTATGCTATAACTAAACGATTTTTTTATGGATTTCTAATAAATTGTCAAAAAACATGTTTCGAACATAAGCTGATCTATTTTTAGTGACTTGTAAGTTGCAATATAAAAATGTCGATAAAAAATCAAGTTTTAAATGGCATTATGTATTTTTGCCCTTATGTGTAGTTATTGTCAAGATCATTTCAACAATCTTCCATACTATGACTTTGAGATGATCTTGAATTTAAGAATGTGAGCGTTGTTTAAAATATTTTTTTGTCAGAACATTAGAAGTTTATAAAAAATCGTGAGATAGTTATAACATACGCTCTGTATATAAAGACGACAAGTAATTTGTTAATAAATTACTATTTTATTTTTTTCAAGGCCACTGCGGTCCAACCAATTTTTGGATAGATGGTTGGTTTGGATGATTGGCTTTTCAATCAACTTTTTTTTTATTTTTTCTATTGTTTATTACGGTATAACAAAGCGAAGAAAGACCCATAAAAATCCCATAAAAAAATGGAAGTCTTTCAAGTTTACTCACTTTTTAAATAAAAAAAAGCAAATTAAGATTACAATTGTTTGTAATGATGAATTATAATTTTTCTACAAAAATTCACTCATTTTGATATTCTAATTAGATTTTTATACATTTATAAGAAATTTAAAAATACAAAAATATTGAAAATATACATAATATGTAGGACATATTGACATGTTACGATATTTATTACAATATTTAATTAAAAAAAACAAACTTCTGCTTAGACTCCATTTCTTTAATTTCTTTAATATATTCATAAAAATATGAAATCGAATAGAAAAGTCTTGAAACAATTTTTATTTTTTTATAGTTATTGTTTATTACAGATATTTAAATTTTATTACAATTTTTAAATTTTATTTGTGTTTTACACTACAATTATTAATGTATTAATACTTTATAGACTCTTTGTCTTTGTTGCATCATGTTATAAACTATAAAGCATAAAGTATTTAATTGAGCATCTTTAATAAAAGAAATCGATAAATAGATTTTATCTAAGATATTTCATAGAACTACTATATTTTCAGAGCAACTTAACGGAATTAAAATCCTTTGCAACTCCACCGGAACAAGTGGCACTGGTATTACAAGCTGTTTTAGTTTTATTTTCTCCCAGGGGCCAAATTTCAAAAGACAGAAGTTGGAAAGCGTGTAAATCGATGATGGGACATATTGATAATTTTCTCTCGCAACTTCGAGATTACGACAAAGAGAATATTCACCCTGAAGTGGTCAAAGCTATTCAACCTTATATCAACCATAAAGGTCAACAATAAATTCTAATGAAATTACTATTTAATTTAATTAAAATATATTATTAAATTTTAATTAACTACTATTAATGAAACTAAAATTAATATAGATCTCAAAATTAGTACAGATATTAAATTAATATAAATGTTTACAAATTTATATATTTTAACAAATTACCACTTTACTTAAGTAATTTATAATTAATAAAATCATATGTCCATTTATTTCTATATAAATTAAATTGAACATACTAAATTAAAGCTTAACGATATAATAATCACATATATTTTTACGATTATTTTTGAAGAATTTTCTATTTTATGATAAAATAAAATTAAACAAATGAAACTTATAAAGAATATTAAGTGGAAAGCAAAATTCTCAATAATAAAAATATTCACACTAAAGCTACCGATATCTAAAGCATAAACTCTAATATTTCCACCAGAGATATTGAAATCGAAGAAACAGAAAAACTTTATACTACAATAAAATGTGCAAGCTTTTATTTATATATTTTAAATTTCCATTTTAAATCAATAAAATCTCTAAAAATATACCTTCTTACATCTATAAAATTTCTAACAAGAATTATAAATTGATCATTTTGATTACTTTGATAGTTTTAATGTTAGGTATACTATCAATACAGTAAAAAGCACAAAATAAACACATCTTCTGTTTTGACAATTCTTAAAATCGTTTCTACATATTAAATATTAAAATCGTCAATACAAATTGAAAAATTGAATTTTTTACTCTATCAATCATTCGTATTACAATATCTTTATATTTGGTATGTTTTTTATAAGTTCTTATAAAAATTCAAAGAATTCATGTGAAGAATTTATGTGACACTTTTGTTATTTATCTTTACGGAATATATTAATAAAATATAATTAGAAAATTTTATTTAAAATTAATTGTGCTATAGAAATTAATTCGATATTTCTAAATTTAACAAATCATTGTTCATTTTGTCATAGTTCTTATGGTATATCTAATAAACACTATTAATATTTATATAATCTCATATTACAATCTTTATAATTTCGTATTTATATTCCTAATTAAATCCACGTAAAAAAAAGAAAACAAATGTGAATGATTTTTATACAAATTTTATGAAGCAACAGATATACATTTATTAATTTATTTATAATTTATTAATATAATTAATATAATTTATTAATAATTTATTTATGAAGCAACAGCTCTTTATGAATGAATCAATATGAAACTTGGAAATGCAGAAAATTAATAGTAGAAAAAACGTTTGCTAATTGAATAGAATTTCACTAAGTATCTAACTATTCGTTTATGCTAATGTATTTAATTAGAAGCAACAATAATTATATCACACTTTCAGATTTTGACCCAGAAGTTATTTACTCAAAATCGCATGCTGCTGCAGGTCTTTGCAGCTGGGTGAGAAATATAATGGTTTTTCATTACATTAATGAAACAGTAAAACCATTGAGAGTTGCACTAACACAAGCAAATATGGAACTGAAAGCTGCTATGGATCACTTGAATGCTTTGAGAACGCGATTAGCAGTAAGTTAATGTTCATTTTATTACACATGTCACAATATATATGTTATAGTATATATTTTCTAAAAAGCACATAATGCCAGTAAATATGTATAATACACATGTCACAATATATATGTTATAGTATATATTTTCTAAAAAGCACATAATGCCAGTAAATATGTATAATGTATATGTATTTGTCACTTTTGTACTAGAATTTAAAATAATGATATTATACTCCTATATTATTATTATATTGTAATATATATATGTATAAGAAATTATGCACAATATTAATGCAAATTATATATTATACAATATGTAGCATATATATAATATAATAATAATAATAATATATTACATTATACCTATTATAATTATTATATTATACATATTATTATTAGAAAGTACAATTAAAATATTTAATTATATTTGGGACTCAAATTATGTTAATTTGGACAAACGGTAAAATTAATCTATAAAAAAAAAGAAAGAATGTTCAAAAAAAAAAAAATGATTCTGAAATGATAAATATAATTGTTCTAAATTTTAATATTAATATTCATTCAGCTCGATGAATCAAGCTAAAAATGGACGCGCGCTTGTATTTGAGGCGGATAGCGACCATGTGATGAGATATTGTGAGTTGTTAGGATTCCGATAGAAAATCGGAGATCGCGATAAATGGACTATATATTTTATAATTAATTGTTGTACGAATCATACTGGCTTATAATTAACTAATTTCTAATGACTATTTTACGTCTTAGTAGCGGCACTAACAGTAATAGCAGAAATAGCAGTGATAGCTGAAATATGGCAGTATAGCAAAAAGATTGACTATAGCCTGAGTTGTGTTGACGCACTGTATTGTATTTAATGACGCACTATTTGAATTTAACGACGCACGGACACTCACAGTGATTATAATGATTAACGCATTCTTGATTTGATAATGCACTCTTGAGTAATGCAATGTTGAATTTACTAACGCACTAACTTCCCCGCTGACGGGGGCCCAAAGTGATGGCGAGTACGGGCCTACCACTTTGAGTCTCGAGCCGTTTGATTGCCTTAATGTAATTCCTCTAAAAACGTTGAAATTATTAAATATCGATAGGATGATCGATGCCAACGTTTTTAGAGGACATCAAACCGGCACGCGGTCAATGGCCAGGAAAAAAACAAGCTATCACGTTACAGTAGCCGCGATAGAACGTGGTAGAAATTAGAACTTCTTGTCAGCATAAAAAACGGGCGAGCCATTGCCCTTATCTAAAAATAGAATAATAAATTATGTGAGCAAGAAGTTTCACGTTTTTCGTATGAATAATTTTAATAACTAGAATTATGGAAAATATTACCCGAACAAATATTATATAGAACGTATGTTCTATATCTAAAAGTGTTCTTTACGTAATATATTAATAAATATATTAAATGATATAATATATTATTATATAATTTTCATCAATATTCAGCAATTTCTTTTATCACTTTTCCGAATTTGTAATGTTACCGATGATAAGAACTAAGTATTTTTTTAAATCATGATCTCTAATATCTCTAATATTTCTAATATCTGCATAGAAAGATATATAATTTTCCAATAGATAAATACGCGAATGTCTTGTAATTATCATTTCATATTTCAAGAAGAAATATACATATATATCTGTACATATAGACATACATACGTATATATATACCTGTATCTAAAATAATTATTATTCATCTCAATAAATTACTCTTTTTCTTTCTCTTACACTTCTAGGAATTGCAAAAAGTGCTCGACATTTTAGGAGGAAGAATGAATGCAGCACTAGCTGAGAAACAAAAATGTCAGGATGAAGCTGATGCTACTGCTACAACAATTGATCTTGCAAATAGATTAGTAAATGGTTTAGCGTCTGAAAAAATTCGATGGACTGAGGAAGTAAAAATGTTAGTTTTTATTATTTCTTATTTCGTATCTTCTAATTCTCTTATAAAAATATGTTTAATTAATGCAAAACTAGTTACTCTTACGATTAACGATACCATTGTAATATATCTCGATCACTACAGCGTAATTTCACTTTTGGTATGATGGAGATTCATGTAAAAAACTTTCCGTAAAATTGACTTAAAAATGAAAGTCAGAAAGTCGAATTGTTCTTTGCTTGTGTCACGGTGGTAGGAGGAGATTACTTCAAACGAAAATATTGATTGAGACGCCAGCACTGAACGTTCATCACTCAACGTCAAGAAATGTATTTCTGACGAAGGAATGCGCGATTGTTCCACTGCAGCGATCGGGGCTTGTCCACGATTGGTGATTTGTTATAAAAATTAAAGTATCAACCGTGCAATACTGGATATTAAAATACTGTGAGATTCGACAAGATAGAAAAATAAAGAGTTCTACAAGAGAGACATTTCATAGCTCAACTGACTTCTTTAAACTTGATTCTTTAAACTCTTATCTAGGGTATTATCTTGGGAGCCTTTTCAAAAGAGAACAGATAACTTTGGTCGTGATACTTGCATTGTATTCCACTTACCGCGAGAACCAATTTTGCGAAAAAAACCATCGATCGAAAATGATACATTCTCCAGAAAAACGATAATGAATTTCCAATAATTCATATAAGTTTGTTTATAAATTATTTTTTCGCCTGATACTGCTAAAATAGCTGTATCATGTCACTGATATCTTGCCGCTCATCGATAATAACAAGTCAATCTATTACTGATAATATACAGGGTGTTATAAAAATTTTATTATTGAAATATTAATATGTGTGATCACCTTGATCCTAACAATATGTAGCTATTCTAAATATTAGTTCACTGAAATCGATAATTAAATGTATTATCTTAAAATTTCTATATATACAAAGTATCCACTTTTTTTGTGGATACACAAATGTTTTAATTTTGATTTTTTAGTGGTACTTATGAAAAGATTAAACTTTAGAGCTAAAAATATGGTAAATACATATGAAGTTTTCACATAAAACTATACCTATACACTTTTAAGAGATAAAAGATCAAAAGATTAAAAAACTAATACATGTAGAAATTAATCGAGTAAACTATTTTGCTAGTAATTTTTTAATGAACATTTGTCAACTGTGGGCCTTACAGAATTACATTATGATATGTGTTATCTTTGATAACACATTAAAAAATTATTGAAAATAGAGAGTAATATCTTTTTGTAAATGTGTACGTGTACCAATATTTAAATAGACATCTATTTATCGACGCAAGCATTGAAAAGACAAGACAAAATTTAAAGAATGTCTATTATCGATAGAAAATAAATTCGTCATTTCCTACACTATCAATGCAAGTACATATTTTAATGAATTTAAATTTCCAGGTTGATAAATTCGTGTGTGACAGTACCAGGTGATGTGCTTATTGTAACAGCATTTTTATCATACATGGGATGTTTCACTCGAAAATATAGATCCGACTTAATGTACGAAAATTGGCTACCGTTTTTAGAGGGCTTGGAATTAAAAATACCAAGGACTCCTGATTTAGATATTCTATCTTTATTGACAGACGATGCACAAATTGCACAATGGAACAATGAAGGTGAATACATTTTAATACAGGATGGTTCAATAAAAATTAGCAATTAAATATCTTCGTTATTTTTGGAGATATGAAAACATTTTGTTGACGAAAGTTATAATATAGAAGCTATATTGAAATAACAGCTGTATTGTAGCAATAACAATTGCTTTGTTGTTAGAAAGATTTCAGAAACTCTATTTTTTTAAATAGAACCATATATTTTTTTGTCCATTAAGCAGCTTGACGCCTTCTCTATTAAAAAAATATTAATCTGTATACATTGAAAAATTATTTATTATTATTAATTATCATTATATTATTAAAAATTATTCATTAATTAATTATTATTCATAGTGAATATTTTGTTTCTTGATATTTCTTTCTGTCTTTAACTACTTAGCTCATTCCATTTATGTGAAACAAGGTATTTTAATAGTCACTATTATTAAACTATAATTCAGTCGATTAACTCTTAATATTATGTAAATTATTTTCAAATTTCCAATGATTTTTTCCATTTTCATTTATAATAATTTAAGAAATTAATCCAAATCCTAGTAAAATTAAAACATAAATTTCAAGATGATCAAAAAATCAAAATAAATATTGATATAAAATTGGATTTCCCCCTCCAAAAAGATTAAGTTTCGATCAAATAATATTATTATAATTATATTACATACAAAAATTAAAAAGTTTCAAATTCATATATTGAATACCAACCGTGTTTTAATAGTTACTCAATATAACTGACAATTAAACATTCTTTAAGGTTTACCAACAGACAGAATGTCCTCAGAAAATGCAACAATTTTAATGAATTCAACAAGATGGCCTCTAATGATAGATCCACAATTACAAGGAATAAAATGGATAAAAAATCGATATGGCGAAGAATTGCAAGTGCTGAGGCTTACTCAACCAAATTATTTGCATTTGATTGAAATTTCCATCGCTAATGGTGGGATTGTTTTAATTGAAAATATTATGGAAACTATTGACCCAGTCTTAGATCCTGTTATAAAAAGAGATTTAATAAAAAAAGGGAAGTGAGTATATAAGGTTGATTCAATAATTATTTACAAGTGTAAAATTTATTAGAATAACAACAGATTTGCAACAACATTATCCTTTATCCAAACTTTTATTTTACAAATATCTCAATGTCCAATTGTTATATTATTGCAATAAACTATCCAGTGATAGTATATCCGTAGTATATGATAAACATCAGTGTAGTTACTAGCAGACAATCTTGTTGGATAATACAACATTCAAATACATCTCAGTCGAAATAGGTAATTTTACCTTTTTGCCAGATAGCAGCTTTTTATAATGCAGCAATTCACGGTCAGTATAGCAAACAAAATTTCGTTAAATAAACTTACAATAGCACGATCGAAGTTTTTACTCAAAGCGACATTTTTGCCCATTATTCTTGTAACTCACAATTTTGCTCGACGAAGATGTGTTTTTTAAGATAATTGAAAAATATTAGTTTGGATAAAAAAGGTTCTATAGTTCTCTTGCTTGTTAATGCACCTAATCCATCTTTGTACAAGCTTTCTACACGTTCAGAAAAAAATGTTTTTATTGAGAAGCAAAGCATAAATATACCGTTTCCTTTAATTTTTTGCGACCAGTTTTGGGTCGCAATGAATTGAGAAAGAACATTGTTTTCGTATTGTGTACGAGAGCTTTTGTATTTTCTATAGATTTGCAGATTAACCATTGAATACATACCAATTCATATTACAAAAATAAAATAACACGTTACTCTTTCTCAACGCAAATATAAAATAGTCCGATCATTATTATCATATATTATATCATAATAAAAAAGAAAAAAAGAACTAAAACCTATAAGTGTGATGAAGATCGATCGATGTTGATACATAAACATTTGATACTACAGCCAATATATCACTACATTGCGGATAATTATTAAATCACCCTCACATATTATTGTTGCAACGTGATTCATATTAAAAGAATTAAAGAATCAATTAAATTTATGTACCATTTACTTGAGAAAATAAATAATACCGATTTATTTAATCTATAAATTATAAATTTACACTTAAATTACCATTAAAAAATCTTTAATTGAAAATTAAAAAGAATATATGTATATTGTTTTTTTTTTTAATAATCTAAAATATGTTTTAAATGTGACAATTTACACTTTGAAACCCAATAGAATTCTAATAGCATTTGGAATATTTATTTTAAAGGGCGATAAAAATTTGGGATAAAGAAGTAGATTACGATCCTCATTTTCGGCTGATTATACAAACGAAATTAGCTAATCCTCATTATAAGCCTGAAATACAAGCCCAAACCACTCTCATCAACTTTACCGTAACAAAAGATGGTTTGGAGGAACAACTTCTAGGAGACGTTGTAAAAGCCGAAAGACCTGATTTAGAATCGAAAAAAGCCGAATTAACTACTCAACAAAATACCTTTAAAATTACCTTGAAAAAATTGGAAGATGATCTTCTGCATAGGTACATGATTTATATTTTGTTTCATACTAATTTTGTTAATAAAGATAATATCAAATACTATTTTCTAAATTTGCAAATTACATTTTCATTTCCTTTGCTTATTATGTTGAAAATTTTTAAAATATAAATTTCTACAATATATTGAATGTTATCATATATTGAATTTTAATTATATACATTGAATAGAACATTTGATGAAAAATTTCCAATATTTTAAACTCTTATAAGAAAACTCTTATTAAGAAAAATTGTATAACAAATCATAGAAAAATCATTGTAGGATAAAGAATTTAGTCTTTAAAATAATAGATTTAGTAGTGAAATAACATTTTCAGGAAAAAAGTTTGCAAAATTTTCGTGAAAAAAAGTATTTTTACTTTTCCTTTTCAAAATAATATAGAAACATCTTTGAAAAAACGAACTCAATAGTGTAAAAGACACTTCACGTTTTAAATAGCCCAATTATAATAGATTATTCTAGACTTTTTTCTTACAAAGTTATAACAGTTTAAAATATCGACAATTTTTCATTGATTAATATTGTTCTTAATCTAAAATAGAAAATAATATTAAATGCTATTGCTCGTTAAATTTTCAAACATAGTTATCAAATATAACATAATTATCAAATATAAATATACATAATTAAATATAATTTCTTCTTAGCATGTTTTATCATATAACATAATGATTTATTTATTTGTCCTAATTTATACCCATCGTTACTTTATTCATCTAAATATTTATTTAAAATATATTTATCAAAATCAATAATTCTCATTAGTAACAAAATTTACAAATTTACTTTATTAAATAGAGCAATGTTTATATTATATTGTATTGTATAGATATAAATATATTACAAATTTTATATACAAATGTAAAATTATTTGATATATTTAATAATATTTTAATAAGTGGACTACGAATTTTTATATATTTATAGGAAATTTTAAAGTACATAAAGCACAGAATGCACGTAGTATAAAGTAACATATAAAATATCAAAATTGTAGTACTTTTTATAACATTTGTTACATAAAAATTCAAATTCTATTTTTAAAGATATGAATTTACATAAAAGTTCGCAGCATATATATTTTTGATGTATATTAATATTTTCAATTTACTAATTCATATAATAATCTTATATTATATTGTATAGTATTATTGATATTATGTTATTATAATTATATTGGTGAAATATATTATAAATGAACTAAATTATATAACTATATATTGATGAAATCTTCAACAATCAAATTAAACTCTTTCTCATTGTGTTTTCTTTGTATCTAATATTCTCTGTACCTAATAAATCTCAATTGTTTTGTATCATTTAAACATCGCAATGCAACAGTCTGTTCTTTTTCAAAGATTATCGGCCGCTGGACCAGACATTTTAAGCGATGTCGATCTGGTAATCAATCTCGAAACCACAAAGAAAACTGCCGCGGAAATAGAGATAAAAGTAGCTGAAGCTAGAGTGACTGCAGTAAAGATAGACGAAGCTCGAGAAATTTATCGTTCTGTCGCGGCACGGGCCAGCCTTTTATACTTTGTTTTGAACGATTTGAACAAGATAAATATGCTTTATCAATTTTCTCTGAAAGCTTTCAGCGTTGTCTTCCAGAACGCAATTAAATTTGCAGAAGCTTCGGAGAATATAACGAAACGTGTAGCTGTATTAATCGATAGCATCACCTATCTAGTTTTCATTTATACAAGCAGAGGATTATTTAAAGCTGATAAATTAACTTTTCTCTGCCAAATGACTATTCAGGTAAATCAATTCTGTATTAATAATAGAAAACGGACTTTTATGCAAGTATAATATGTCGAAATACATATAACATAAATGCCGAACGATTTGCAATAAAATTTATTTGTCACAGTATGTTGCAATAATTTTTTTATTTATATTATAATTATAAAAATTTTCTTTTATCTAAATTGTAATTATAAAAATACAATATACTCCTTGTTAAAATTAATTTATATACTTTATATACTAATATTTTATATACTACAATAATTTATATATTAAAAACAATGCCTTTATGTTATATAACATTTCCGTTATATGAATTTATGCTTGCCAGTATTTTTGGAAATATTATTAATTTTAGACAGTACGATAAAAGGATTGTATGTTTATGATATACGTTGTTTTAAAATTGATAATTAACTTGAAAAAAATGGAAATTGAAAATATGATAAAATATTACAAGAAGCTTTGTATTATAAAAATTTTAGCATTATTATAATACGTTAGCATAAAATCTTAGCATTATTATAATACATTAGCATAATTATAAAATTCTAGCATTAATATAATACGTTATAAATACATATCTATGCAGAACATATGCAATATGCAAAATATATAAAATAAAAATTATGTATTTAGAATTCAAATGATAAAACAAATTTTTAACTTTATCTATTTTTATGCAAAATTCATATTTTTATGTACGAAAACGAAAATTTCGTAATCATTTTTTATGCATTTCCTTAACTTCAACAATCGCTTGAGATAGATAGACCCTATGAGTTTCTTTGCAATATCGTATTAAATTTTTATCCATTCTTCAAGAAATACGATTTTTAAATCATTTTCATTCGATATTTTTCTCTTTCTGATCTTCAACTCCAAAATATCCTGAAAATTTTTAATCGGATTGATATTCAATGATTGAGATAGAACAATAGGTTTAGATACGTTATACAAGAGCTATTTTTTTCTTTTTTTTCTTTTGGCGTTATATTTGGAATCGTTGTCTTGTTGGAAATAATGTCTTTTTTCCATGCTTAATTGAATTCTACTCTCGAATAAATTATCTTGCAACAAATGTACTTCTCAGCTTTCAATATACCATCGATAAACTTTCTTGATCAATTGCAAGTACTGATTGGCTGTGAACGTAGAGTTACCGCATCGCGATGAAGCAATACAGGATGTCTATAAAATCTCTTTACAATTTCAGAAATTTATTACAAAGGCAAATGAAAAGACAGATAAGTAGAAATTATTACAAAATGGGACGTATATATTTAATTTTTTTTTTTTGCCTCATTTAATACACTTCTATATGGACACCATTAGTTGCACGAAGCACATCGAGACGGTATTCGATTTCTTACACAATCGATGTTTTCCTCAGATGTTCTTGGTCGTCCACTCCTCCTTTTATCGAACACTGTCCCTGTTTTCATAAATTTCTTGTATCATGCACGAATTGATAGACGTGTAGCGACCTATAGTCCCTCAAGTACGAGTTTGTACAAACCGCAATGGCTGTGCGCCTAGCAATCTTCGACGTTAAGCAGAGTGCAGAACACTGCTAGGATGGGTGACCGACCGTCCAGCCTAGCGAGTAGTTATAACAACAAGCGTCTGGGCTAAAAGATCGCTGCCATCAGAATCCCACTAATGAGTCTAGGCAGTGACTCTGAGACGAAATGCATTATCTTCAACTGTTTCACCTTCTTCATCAACACTACGCCCTTCAGACCTGACGGTGGATATCTTCCATATTTAAGTTTGAAGATTCGTTGAACGTTGAGTCTGCAGATCCAATTTGGTTTCAATAAACCATGATACACACTGTGCTCTTCTCTTGAGGAGTAGCCATTTTGTAAGAGGATCATTTAACAGAGTATCTTATTCATCAATAGGGTACCTGAAATACAATGTGATAAAAACTCTGATAACCACTAAGTACATAGAACAAATCTAATGAAGATATTTCATTAATTGCTTTTATAATAAATTTTGGAGATTGTAAAGAGACTTTACGGACACCCTGTATTATTTTATGCGGACTATTACATTATTTTATTTCAGACGATAGATTACTATTTGCGGTAATTTGAACGCAATGCTTTTTAGATACGAAAGGAAACGCGGTTTATCGGAAACCGCTCGTCTGCACTGATTGTGAGCTTTAAACGAATATAAAAATCAATATCATGTTTTCGTTTGCGTTTTTATTGCCACATAAATTATGTATGTCAAATAGATTCATTTATTTCAGATTTTTATGGAAACGCATGAGATCACACAATCGGAACTTGATTTCCTATTGCGATTCCCATACATTTCCGACTTAGTCAGTCCTGTGGACTTTTTAACAGACGTCGGTTGGGGCGGCATCAAATATCTAAGCCAAATAGAAGATTTTCAGAATCTGGAGAAAGATATAGAGGGTGCTGCGAAACGGTGGAAAAAATTTGTTGAATCAGAAACGCCGGAACGAGAAACTTTCCCACAGGATTGGAAAAATAAAACTGCTCTGCAGAGATTATGCATTATGAGATGTCTTAGACTGGATCGTATGACTTATGCGATTAGGTTTGTGTCTTTATTTTCGTAATAACATTTTTAACATCTTATGTTCAGAATTTGTTTCATTTTTCGATCATTTCAATTTTTGAAAATTTTGTATCAGTTTTTTCTCATTTTAATTTCTTTTATTAATTTCTTTTATAAATTACGATAATTAAATGTACTGTTATAAATGTTTGGACAGTTTTTAATTATTGCAAATATGTAAAATTTACACAAATTTAATATACAGGATATCCCGAAATTAAATGCTAAAATTTCGAAAGCGCCATTTTTTTGATAAATTAAAGAGAGATCCTATAGAAATTTGTTCGTTTTGTTCGTTTGGAGAAAATTGTGAAAAGAGAAACAAAGAGTAAAATTTTTTTATTTATATGGCTTTGTTTTCAAAAAAATCAAATTTGGAAAATATATTTGACTGAACTAAATAAAAATGAATAACTAACAGATTGTTCTATGTAGAAAAATAAGTCAGAAAAGTAAAATAAAATTTTTTCATTTAAAACTTCATTTTCAAGAAAATAGATTTTAAATATGTTTCATTAAAAATTGCCTTAGTATACGTGTAGTTGGTAAATATTCAAATTTAATTTTCTCGAAAGTCTCGAACAAAAAAATTTTATTTTATACTTCTTTCTTATTTTTTCACAAAGAATCACTTCTCATCGATTATATTTTTATTTATTACTATTTGATAGTTGTGTTTTTATTTCTAAAACACAATTAATTGTAGTAAAAAATAAAAATCCCATTTATATATTCCTAAGAAAAATTTAAAAAAATACGCTCCATTCTTTACTTATTTGCATCATAACGTGTATATTATTTACGTTGTGCATATTTTTGTTGTTTACATCATAGAAATTTTTTCTATATCTAAAAAATTTGCAAAAAACTATTATTCAACTCTTTGTTATTTTAACATAATGAGCGAAAAGAAAATATTTTGTAGTATTCTTTGTAACATCTTTAAGTATTTAATTAATCATTTAATATAATTAATAATAATAAAAAAAAAGAATTTTAGTATAGACTTGAAAATATCTTCTTTATCCCAGATTATTTAAAATACTTTGTTTTATAAATATATTTAGATGCTTCGTCGAAGAAAAGCTTGGTTCAAAATTCATTGAGTCGAGATCTCCACCTTTTCATAAATCCTTCGAAGAAACGAGTTCGATCACGCCTGTATTTTTCATCCTCTCCCCCGGTGTTGATCCTCTAAAAGTAACTTATTCAAGCATTTTTTTGACACAGATGAATAAATTTATTTTTAGAAATAGGTTCGGAACTAATTTCTAAATTTCTCGAAACTTGAATCGGAAATTTTATAAGGTTTTCGAAAATCTCGAAATTCTCGAAACTTAAAGTGTTGATTTCATTTTGTAAGAGAAAGAACTGCGATTAACATTTTTATATAAATTTTTATTGATCACAGTTAAACGAAATATAAACAAAAACATAACAACATACAAAAATATCTAATTCAAATTCTTGTTTAAGAACATTAACTTTTTTTAGAGCTAATCTATTTTTCTTTTTTTTTTATTGTCTATAATGCTAAATGTACTGAAAAATTTTTCAGAGTATTGATGTGGTAGTGTAATAAGATATTTTTTTGATAAGTTTCTTTATATTTAAGTACTTTTACATTATTATTACATTACATTACTTTTACATTATTACTTCAGAATTACAATTGATCGCAAATCTATTTATATCCTTAAAAACAGAAACCGAAACATCTCGCATCAAATATTCGAGGTATACATGAATCAAACAATTTTTATTCACGTTGCATATGATTTTTTATTTATTAATTTTATTCATCAAATTTTCGAAATTCGAAATTTTTTTGAATTTCGCTATTTAAAATCTATTCTTTGCAGTTTATTAATAATGAATAAATTCAACAAAATTATTATTACAGACAATTATTATAAAAATTAGACTACGAATTTTTATGCAAATTCAGATTTTTCGCAATTATTAAAATTGAGCTTAAGTAAAGACTTATTTTATCCACTAAATATTATAGTGAATTTTTTAGACATTTTATACGGAAGGTCTCATTTTAATTCACACAATTATCATCGCAACTATTCATTATTCAAAAAAATATTTGAAATAAGACTTTACATTAACATTAATATTTTATTGTTGACTTTGAACTCACTTCCATTTTCTCAACTGGAATCAATTTTTTATAAACATATATTCTCTATAAAAAAAACATATACATATACTTATAGTTATTTTTATTTGAAGAAATACAACTATAATACTTTCCTACTTTCCTACTTTCTAAATTTTCATATTGCTTCATATTTATCATAATCTGTAATTGAAATGTCAAAATTAATATTCATTAATTTATTATTAATTTAAAATATTGAATTACGTAATCTAATGTATCTAATAAGTTATACAAATACTATAAGACAATAATGACAACGATTAAAATTCAGGATGTAGAAAAATTGGGAAAGCAGTTGGGTTTCACTTTCGAAGGAAGAAATTTCCATAATGTGTCATTGGGCCAAGGTCAAGAATCCGTGGCCGAAGAAGCTATAGAACTTTCAGCGAACGAAGGTCACTGGGTAATTTTGCAAAATGTCCATCTAGTCAGAAAATGGTTACCCACGTTAGAAAAAAAAATGGAACAATGCGCGGAGAATCCACATGATGATTACCGATTATTCATCAGTGCTGAGCCTACTCCTGATCCTCACGAGTCAATAATACCTCAGGTAGTAACCGCAGAAAATCATGTAATTTCAGTTTAATTGGCTTATGCCAGAAATATTTAATTTTTAATTATATTCTCATTGCTATTTGTATTTAACTTCTAACTAAATATCACTGGACATAAAAATTAAGACATTACTTAATTTTGGAATTTTTAACTTTATTGAATTTTATCAAATTAAATAATCTCTATCACAGAGACAAAACGCAATATTTTTTTTAATACGATACAAATTACTATAATCATTTATAACTTCATGATATTACATATGGGTTAAATTCAGTTCTTATTACACACATTGAAATTGCTATTTTGGTTGTAACATCAGAACAAAAAGAAATTGATTTAGGCTAATTGTAAGCAGGTCCAAAATTTTAAATGCATTACGACTAACAAGTACGCATGTAAAGCATCAAGTTAGGCAACATTGTAGAATTACAACATTTAAGAAGTCATTAGCTTTCTTGTAAATGATGTAATATAGTTTTACATTGTGCGTACCACTTTTATGGGAAATCTTCCCATCAATTCAATTACGGTTGCTACATATGTGAATCATAGAAATACTTGATGTTTTCAAGGTTATAATTAAGCTTTTAAACAATATTCATATGTAGTGAGACATACTATAAAAACAACTTTATAATAAACAAATGCTGTAACAAACTTTTTCTTATTAAATCAAAACACTTACAATCAACGAATATGTTACTACAAACATGCCACTTCTTCCTCTTTCTTCTCTTTTTTATAAATTTTTTTAGAAATTTACATTTATTTGTGCAATGAATAAAATTTAAATATAATTAATAACATAATTAAATTATATAATTTAAATAAAGAGTTAAGTAATTAATTAAATATTAATTATATTAAATATAATATAATTAATTACATATATTTGTATGTATATATTATATATATTTCAAATTAAGGATATATGCACTATCTATATATATGTATGTTCCTATAATGAACTAATCTTATAACGAATGTATAAAAATTAATTAGTTCGTTATAGGATGCGCCACTGTACTTTTTATTTTATTTATAGTAAAGTTTAATACCATTTATTTTTCATTTAAGATTTTTCATATATCTTTTATCATATAAATGTTATAAACACGGCAGATAACAATTTTTTATGTTTGCAATATTTTTCATTAAGGTGACCTTTAATTTTTTTATACAGAATAGTGAATCGTACAACTTTGTCCTGTGTCATTTTTTCCTCTTGTTTACCATTTCCGAGAAAAACGCTGGACAAGAATAACGTGAACACTCTGTATATAACTCAATTATTAAACTTCTATATTTCTATTTCTATATGATAATTCTATATGATAATTTGTTCAGAATGAAATTAAATATAATTGTTGATAAGAAATTAAAATTAATTACTGTATGTACACAGGGTATACTAGAATCAGCCATAAAGATCACAAATGAACCACCATCGGGAATCCAAGCGAATATCCACAAAGCGTTAGATAACTTCACTCAGGAAACTCTAGAATCCTGCAGTAAGGAAACCGAATTCAAAGCTATATTGTTTGCGCTCTGTTATTATCATGCTGTAGTTGCAGAACGTAGAAAATTTGGGGCGCAAGGATGGAATAGGGTAAGTGACATAAGAGCCTTGATCCTTGTATTGTATCTTATTGTATATTAAATTTATTTATCTAAAGTATTATATATATAATATATTATTAATTAAGTATTATATATATATAATTTATAAGTATTATATATTAAGTATTATATAATAATAAAATAAAATGATATATTATTTATTTATTTAACAAAACAGTTTTGTTTTGGAGAAAAGTGTTTATCACTTAAACTGTTGTTAACTGCTTTTCCAACTTTATACATCCTGTGTATAAATTAAAATAACTATTTCATTTGAAATCAGTCCTATCCATTCAACTTCGGTGATTTGACTATCAGCGTTTCCGTACTATTTAATTATTTGGAAAATAGTATCAAAGTACCTTGGGAAGATCTTCGTTATTTGTTTGGAGAAATAATGTACGGAGGTCACATAACAGATGATTGGGATAGAAGACTCTGCAGGACATATTTAACAGAATATTTAAAACCTGAATTAGTTGAAGGTATGTAAATAACAAATAATATAAAAGTATATTCACAAGTATGTTCTCATTAAATTCAGTTTATTAAATCTGTCTTTAAACATTGTTTTTTTTATAAAACATTTTGATTGTTTTTTTATAAAGCAACTTTGTATTTGTAAATTGAAGCATCACTTGGAAAAAGGATGTATCTGCCGAAATCGAATTTCAAAAGATTCAAAGTTGAAATTTTGTTTTATTTATAATATCGCGATATTGATGTAAAAATTGTTACTGTACAAACTTCAGTTTTAATACAGAATAAAGTGGAGACAACTTTATTTTACTTTTAATAAAAAATAACTGAGGTATAAAAATGATTTTAAGCGTCTTTTTTCGGCACTATACTACACATTAGAAGTAATTAAGTAAAGATAACTAAAGAAAATAAAATTTTTATAAAATCTTTTACATATCCATTTTCAAAAACATTCAGTTATGTGTCTATTGAAATTTTATTTGAAATTTTCAATTCATTTTTCGACATTGTCGATAGTTTCAATAGTTTATGCGATAGAATGAGATTAAAAGAAATTGTAATAATTTTTATACAAACAGTTCAAATAAAAACAATTTGCATTTTTTGTGTAGGTGAATTATATCTTGCACCAGACTTTTTGGTGCCACCAAATAGTGATTATGATGCATATCATCAATACGTTGATAACTACTTACCTGCTGAAAGTCCTGTTCTTTACGGGCTTCATCCTAATGCAGAAATTGGTAAATATATATAATATTTTATATAGAATACATATAATCATAATACAGATAAAAATAATACAATATTATGTCATATATGATAATATGATAATATATAATATTATAATATTAATAATAATAATATAATAATGTTATTATATTAATAACATGGAAATAAATCGCTATTATAAACAAACTACGAATGTTTAGACAAGTTTTAATCTTTATAAATACAATAACAAAAATAGAATGTATTTTTACATATTATATTTAAGCAAATAAAAAAATATTCTTTTTCTTGCAAAGTATTAAAATATTCTTTCTCTATTAAAAATTATAAAAATTCAAGTCTTCAAAAACATTGAAAAATTCTTTTAATGACTGAATCCATCACGGTCTTGAAGGTTTCTTAAAAAGGAAATATTCATTAAATATTCATTGAAACTTGCTATACGAACTTTTTTTTAATCATTTTATTGAATGTTGAATATTGGAGTTAAATGACAAAAATTCGAGGAATCTTAACATTTCGTCATTTGACCCTAATGTTTCAAGTTCAATAAGATGGTGAAAAAAAATCGCACAGCGAATTGTAAAGTGAAAATTTCAATTTTCAAGATTATAGTAGATCAAGTCATGAAAAAACTTTTTAATGTTTTTAGAAATATTCGAATTTTTACAACATTCAAGAATAAAAGTGCTTTTACTTTCCCATCCGCTACATGATGTAAAAATATGTTTGAAAAAAAACAAATTTAAGGCAATCAAAGAAGCTTCACACTTTAAAATGAGACCAGATAGATTGTTATAACAGTTTAAAATATCGACAATTTTCGTTATGTATTCAATTATATTTCTTACTATGATATAATGACAATTCCTGAAACTGATACATAAAACAATTTATTTTATACATTTATTAGGATTCTTAACACAGACTGTAGAAAATTTATTCAAAACATTACTGGGTATGCTAACAAGAACTGCTAGCGATACAACAATTGGAGAAATTTCAACAGAAGACAAAATAAGGGGATTGATAGAAGATTTATTGGACAAGTTACCAGAAGACTTTAATATGCAAGAACTTTACACCAAGGTATTCACCCTAATTCTATAAGTGAGGAACAGGAAGTATAGGAATTAACAAACTTATTAGAAAATAGAGAAATTTTAAAGTTTTATTCAGAACTGGTAAAATATTATTTTAAATAATGATAATTAATAATAAAATTATATGTATATTTAATAATAATAAATATATATATATATAATTTTAATATAATATATTATATATAATAATATAATTATTATTAAATATTATATATATTTAATAATAATAAAATGATAATTAATAATAAAATTAAGATTAAATAGATCTATATTATTTTAAATCAAGCGCATAACTGTAAGAATAAGCTACATTTAGGTTTCATTTCAAATTCATACCGCGTAAAATGAAATCGTAAAAAAAGTTAGTGGAAAATGAAAAAAATAATATTTTTTTAAGAAATCAAAATTTTATTCGTCTTCTCTCTCTCTATAATTATTGTAAAATATATTATAGTATAATAAAGTTCGGTTTCCTTTTAATGGAATAACATTAGCATCGTTCGAAAGTCGTCTTCTTTGTTTCTGTTTCATGCCAATTGCAATTACGTTATTTTTATGTTTTTCTTTAGTAACTCTTTATAGTAAGTCATATAATTTCAAATTACTTCAAAATTGTGCAGATTGTCCAACATTAGGATACAATGAAGTAATGTTGTAACTTACCAGCTAATTCTTTCTTCAATTAAACTTGAAGTGATTTTGAGATCAATTAAACTTAAAATGAAAAATCTTTATTAACATTATTTAATTAATTTTTAATGTTAATTTTAATATAATGTAATTTAATTTTACTGTAATATTAATTTTAATTGTAAAAGAAACCGTACAGTTATGAATAGAATGTGTAAAAAATACCGTACCGTGTAAGATGTATTTTATTTGTTACAATAAGTTTCTTACAAGAAAACAGTATTTTTCCTGAAATATTTTATTTATTTTAATTTATTTTACTTTTTTTTTTAAATCAGTTATTTAATGTCGCATCAACTTCGTAGATTATTAGCGACATCAGAAGGAGGGATTTTTCATATATTGTTATAGATCTTGATGAGCTTCAGATATTGTATCAGACTTAATGATGATCCACTGTCCATTAGATTATCTTTTAGGGTGGACTTGACTCTGAGTTGTTTTCTTTACGGTAGATATACTTCACATTGTAATATGAGATGGTCTATTGTTAGTATCGTCTTGCACCGTTCGCAGAGTGGTTAGTCATCATTGGTAAGTTTGTATGTTATTTTTGTATGTCCGATTATTATTCTAGATATTATGACTTGATCACGTCTTTTTAGAGTAGGTGGTATTACATTTTTGTAAAAGTCATTTTTGATGGTTAGCAGTCGCGGTTTTACTAGGGTTTTTTATTCGTTATTCCAATGGTATTTGATTTTTTTCTTTAGGTGGACAAGTAGAGAATCGAGTGGTAGGTTTGTGTTGTGGTAGAGGAGTGTCGAATTTGCTGCTTCCTTAGCAGCTTTGTCCGCTCTCTCGTTCATTTCAATTCCTGTGTGGGATGGAATCCATATTACTGTAATTGAGTTATTGTTTTTTAATGATTCGATATAGGCGCTTTGGCATTCGTGGATGGTTGTATTGTTTGTTCATTGGTTTAGAACTGAGGCGATAGCATTTGTGGAGTCACTGAAGATGGCGAATTTTCTATTGTGGTATTTAGATGTGGTTTCGAGGGCATGTTTTAATGCGTTAAGTTCGGCGGTCAGGATGGAGCTTGACTTTATAAAAGTCAGTGGTTGAATGTTCGAAGACTATCGAGTAACCGGTGTCGTTTTGGGTTTTTGAGCCATCTGTATAGATATATTTATGGTTTTGGTATCGCTGGGATAGCTCCCAGAACAGGGATTTAAATGTGTTAGAGTTGGTTTGTCATGTTTGCGTAAATCGGTGTCGGTTGTGATTATAGGGACAGTCCACGGCTGGAAACTAGGTATATTTCTTGGGGTTGCCAAGATGACTTTAGTGTTGAGACCGTGTTCATATTTTGAAATTCTATTGTAGAATGGGAGTGCGGTTTTCTTCATCGGGTGTGTGGTGGTAGTTGCGTTCTATCAAAAGGTGTTTAAGAATACTTACTATATTTTACTTGTTTCAAATATTCAACTGGAAATAATGATATACATTCAATATTTCTTAATGTTTCGTTATATACATATTAGTAATAAATTAATGTATTAAAACTATGATTAATATGTTTGTTTGTGAACAAACGAAAATAAGCACATACTGTGTTGGAATAGAAAGTGAATCCGATTTATATCATGTGTGACATAGATGTCTGTATAGTATAATCATCTAAAATACATAGAATATATTGATAAATTGTAATGCTTAGAGTAAAGAAGGTGTAGACATACAAGAAAGTGCTAGTGTAAACATTCCAGTGATCTTATGATCTTCACGACTTATGCAATGCAACAGAAAAAATTTGTAATTATTTGAAAGAAATATCGATGGTCTTGACAATTTCGAGAAAAATAATCTTTGAAAAAAAAAGAATCCTGCAGAAAGTCTGCAGGATTAACGTCATTCAAATTACGTATAAAACATTTTTTACTTCCTCACAATTAAAAATATTTGGAGATAATATTATAAATGAAACACCCTAAACACACTATGTCTTCGACAGCATATTCAAGTCATTGAAATTAATGCATACTTGATGAAATAAAAGAGAATAGACGACGTTGGAATCAAATACCTGTTAAAAATATACAACTGTATATGGACCCAACAAACATTTCCAGACGCGTGGAGAAAAGCGATCATAATACCGATTCCCAAGACAAACACATACCGGAAAATTACAGACCAATAGCCCTAACCAACTGCCTATGCAAAATCTTAGAGAAAATCGTCAACAAACGATTAAGATGGCAACTAGAATCCAATAATATGCTCACACCCAACAAATATGGATTTAGACAATATCGATCAACCACAGACATCCTAATAAACATTGAAACAAGCATAAGTGAAGCGTTCCTAAACAATGAACACCTCATTAAAGTATGCCTGGACATCGAAAAAGCATACGACACGATACAAAAAACCAAAATCATAAACACCCTGATCTCGTGGGGAATCAAAGAAAACATGCTCGCTTTCATTAAAAACTTTCTAAAAAACAGATACATCCAAGTTAGAACCAATGGACACCTCTCCAATCCAACCATAATACAAAACGGAGTATCACAAGGATCGGCAATCAGCGCCACCCTATTTCTTATAGGCATCAACGACATAACCAGAGGCATAAAACCTCCGGTCCAAGGTAACCTGTTCGCAGACGACCTTACCCTCACTTGCAGTGGTAAAAACATTAACACGATAATCGGGCTAATACAAACAAGCCTGAACGAGCTAACCAGATGGTCAAAAAATTCAGGTCTCAACTTTTCCCCCCAAAAAACTAAATTTATAGTCTTCTCAAAAAGACGAAAATTGCTCCAAAATATACCGAAACTATATATGGAAAAGGTCGAGATAGATAGAGTCAACAGCATAAAGCTTCTCGGACTTACTTTTGACCAAAAACTGACATGGCTCCCCCACTTAAAAGCCCTCAAACAGGTATGCTCCCAACGTATCAACATCATAAAGGCCCTTGCCCACTACAGCTGGGAGCAGACCAAGAAATTCTCTTAAAAACATACCAAGCACTAATAAGAAGCAAGCTGAACTATGGATCAATAGTATACAATTCAGCCAAACCTAACATAATCAAAATAATAGAACCCATTCAAAACTCAGCACTCAGACTAGCCACAGGAAGCTACCGCACAAGCCCAAACCAGCATATTAGTTGAAGCCAAGGAGATGCCCCTCGAACAGAGAAGAAAATTACTAAGCCTAAGATACGCTATAAAAATAGCGTCAACACCGAACAACCCAACATACAACAACACCTTTGCCGACAGACTAATAAACCACCACAACAGAAACTCAAGACTACCGGAACCATTCCGTACAAGACTAAAAAAATATCCGAATACAACTTCGACACCTATTATCGAAAATCACTTCAACACCTATTATCGAACGCAAACATGGACATTAAAAACATGGACAGAAACAAACACCGACCTGGCTATCCAAAAAAAAAAAAAAATGAAAAAAACAACATAGAACACAAACAGGATTTCCAGAAACTAAACAGCAAGAACTACCACAAGATATATACAGACGCCTCCAAAACTAAACACGGAATAGGATTCGCAATAGTCACGGAAAACTCCACCAAAAAACAACGACTTTCCAAACACACATCCAAACACACATCCATCCATGATCGCTGAAGCATACGCGATACTTGAAGCACTACGGCACATCCATGGAAACAACTACCAATCAACGGTAATCTATACAGATTCGTTGACTGCAATAAATGCGACAACAAACATCAATAACAACAAAAAGAACGAAGTCATACAAATGATCCAGGAAACCTATACCGAACTTACTGATGACCACAAACATATAATAATCACCTGGATCCCGTCACACCAGGGAATCGAAGGAAATGAACAAGCCGACTCCTTAGCCAAAGAATCAACAAAAGAAACCAACATCCCAATCCCACACCAAGACCTTCTAGCTTCAACGACCAAAGCGGAAAGAGAAGAATGCAACAGAATTTGGACTACGACAAATAGAACCAAAATACATGACATAGCACACCATTTCTATCAAAAAATACCAAATAACAATCTAA